CTACGTATGTGTCCTCATTCTTCCCTGTGTGCGATTGCAGGGTTCTTAGCTATGAGCTCTTATGGGGAAAAGCATTATCTAATAATGCATCAGCAGCTGGCTAATTGTTCTGTGCCTGTAAAAGTGAGGTCTGGCGATTGACCTTTCCTAAAGTTGTTGAGTACGAAGTAATATCTTGGCTTAAGTCCTGAGAATTTAAGGAAACTGGCCGTTGGCACATACTGTACACAGGATCAGAAACGTTTTTTTTGACGGAACGTATTGTATGCAGTTTTCCTCTGAGATGTAACAGTATACAATCTGCAATTTGTCTTTAGACCACCTTAGTAAAAAAAAAAAACACAGAAGATTTAATCTAGTAAGATTTAGTCACCCGTTAGAAAGCCACTGCATAGAGTTATTTTTCGTTTGACAGTTTTCATTTGTCAATAAGTGTGTTTTTTTAAAAAGTTAAAAAGCATAACCTGAAGTTTAAACCTTTTTTGATTCTTGTTTGACACCTTCTGTCTTTGGCTACAGGCAAATGGGCACGAATTTTACTTTCCATTTACGGAAAAGCTATAGTGGAAGATTTCATTCTTTAGATCACGTAATGGGAACATTGGAATCTTTTAAAATTAACATCATCCCTTGAAGTTCTTGTTTTTATGTTGTTGGCGCTTTTGATTCAGATCTCAGATTTCAGTCTCTGTTCAAGAGGATGTGGGTTGAGAAAGCTGCTACTTGTCCTTTAAGAGTGTTTGTGACCAATAAAATTACTAACTGCTTTTCGCTTGAAGATAACTGCATAACTGACTTTTGCAACAGCATATTCTCTTCTAGTTATTTTATTGGCATGGTAACAGTTGCTCATGCTTGGGTTTTGCCATTAATATGTTTCTACCATATGCTGAGCACAAAATTACCAATGTATGAAAATGGCCTTTTAATGAAAATCTCCCCTGCTTCATTTCCGGCAGTGAGTCATGCTTAACATAATATCAATATATGATAATGTATTTATCAGGCCTTTGGAGTGTACTTTAAGAATAAGTTTGGATTAACACGGATGTGTCTATTTACTGGAAAACTGGATGTAGCTGCAATGCATCTCATTATTTCAAACTGTGGGAGATGTACAAAAAACAGTGTTTTTATACTGTATGTGGCAAGCTGCCAAAATGTGACTTGCTGTGAACCTGGAAACTGTACTCCCTGGAATTCTGCGCTGTCAATACCAGTGGACTTGTCAGTTTGTGTAGGTTTTGTCTGAACATCTATGCTTGGGCCATTGACAGACAACAATGGTGTCTAAGGTAAATTGTCATCTTATGTCATTGCACGGTAGTAGTTTACAGTTATCCTGGTCAGTGGAGTTGGAGTCACAGTCCTGGACACCAAAGATTCCTTCCCCTTTTGCCCTTCGCCAATGGTATCTTTCCCTTGGAGTTCCATGCTGACGTCACCCTAGACACTGGTGCTCGTGAAACATCAGCCAGTGTGTCTTGGTCCCTGAAGCTCCTGCCAGATGTGCCCCAACGATCACCCCTCTTTCAAATTCACTGAGGTCCTCTTGTAGGCATAATTGTAGTCTTATCAGGCCTGTCCAGCGTTTTTATCCATAGAGGAAGACTATTGGCTTAACATAGGACCCGCTTCTATGTGAAACCATTTCCTTTCAGTATACCTGGTGTCCCTGATTGACCCAGGAGATTCCATTTTTGTGTCCACTATCTGCGTAACTCATGCTACAGATCCTTACAGTAACCAGGAGCTGGTGCCTTCAGTGCTTTATATGTAATTATTAGACTTGTAAAATCTACTTTAAAATTTGCAGCCAAAGAAGGTACAAGTTTTAGCTGCCAGATAATCAACAGATTTCTGGATAAACTGTAGCCTGTCGATACCTTAGTACATACCCTCGTAAGTATGGCCTTTCAGCAGCCTAGTCCTGATGATATAAAGGCATGTATCATTTTTGCAGATTCACATAAAAATTAAAATTTGACAAAGATGAACATATGGAAAAAAACACCTTTGTAACATTTCTCACATGAACTTTGAATGACAATGCAGTGTGAAATGTAACATCAAAGTTTAGAACTTTCAAAGACTTTATTTTCAGCACCATCAACAACCCTTAGGGAAAGCTACGTTTAAAGACTAACCCATTACAGTTACTTGTGTAGGTAATTACTTTACGTTGTAACTATGCACGCACTATATATACTGTAGCAATTTAACTTGCACAACTTAAAAAAAAATCTTTCCTTATTTGTTTGTTAATTTAAAAAAAGTTATCCCATACACAAGTAACTTGTAAAGTGCAGAAACGTCAGCTGTAGCATATGATTAGGTCTGCAATTAAAATACGTTTTATCAATGTAATAGTGAAACACATGATGTTCATGATGTGAAATAATCTGACTGAGGGAACATGTATACAATACTAAATAATACATATCTCAGAACAGACCCCTGTAGGAAATCCCAAGTAACTGGAAAATTAAATTCAAAACAGCCCAGGTGTATGAATTTGCTTCTAGTGATTTCCGGTGGTACCTACGTGGTTTTCTTTACAATCCAGTTAAATGCCATTCGGTGCAGTTTAAGGTCAGTTTAAGTGACCCAGGATCCGAAACCACCAGCCGTTTAAAGGCCAGTTCAGTACTGAGCATCTGTATAAAGGTTCAATCAGTCCATTAAGTGCAGAGAAATTAGTTCTAAGTAAAGGCATAAGAATAGGGTCCACAGCATGGGTTTTAGGTCTCATTCTAGCTGAACGTTCCTCATGACTAGGATCCGCAGCCGCAAAATGAGAATCTTAATCATGTGAAAGGAGTGGATATAGTTATCATAAGTGTAGCAGGAGAGGTCAGAAGCTGCCTAGAGTGGTGTTTATTGTTGATAAAAATGGAATTAATGTTTTAACTTGTTCAGTATTAGAGAGAGAGCAGATATTACCCAGTATGAGGATTTTGTTTATGATGGATAAAAAGACTATAACGGCCATTGTCGAAAAGCCTGCTAATAAACAGTCACACAAAACAGTTCCTCCACAAAAGCGCAAGGGATCACCCTGCTTACTTCGTAGATATTGCAAACGCATCTCATTTGTGAGCTGAGGATCGAACAAGCAAGATAAGCAAGTTTCAGCCATAACTAGATGAAACAAGACTTAAGTGTATTTAAATCATTTATGCCTTAGTTTTCTTGGGGTATGCACACCATGCAACAGGTCACGCTTCTACAGTCAAATTCTTAATCCGATTTAAAACGAAAGCAAGACTAAATCCGTTACTGTGTTGCCTTTGCAATTATATACTCAGCTGTTGTTGTATGATAACTTACCATAATAATGTGGTATTGGTCAAGATCTGTGCCTTAAGCTGCATTTATTTATTAAACCCTTCACATGACTAGTATACATGACACAGGCGCCTGCGGCTGGAAGGTTGCCGGTTTGTATCCCACGGCCGGCAGAGGAATCCTACTCTGTTGGGCCCCTGACCAGGGCCCTTCACCCCAGCTGCTCCAGGGGTGCCATATAAATGGCTGACCCTGCCCTCTGACCCCAAGCTTCTCTCCCTGTCTGTGTATCCCATGGAGAGCAAGCTGGGGTCTGCGAAAAGACGAATTCCGATTATAAGAAATTGTACATGACTAGTAAAGTAAAGCGTATGATGTACACGAGCTCCTCCTTGATTTCTGCAGTTGTCATCCCAGCGAGAATTCCGATCGCGAGCTGTGACGCAGCGGCACCTCCGAGAGATCTGCTTTGTGCGTTGACTGCGGGTTCCTCTTGACTCGCCTGCCTGTTCGTCTCCTTCGTTTCCCATGTGCTGAGCTGTGGACTAACGCTGCCATTTAACAGGGGTTCATCTGCCCTCTCTGTATGAGCTCTTACCAAACCTCCACCGGGCTGTTTGACCATTACCAGAGCGAGCACGGAGAGGCAGACGCACAGCAGCGAGAGCGGCGCCCCCCGCCGGCTCCCATCACCGTGGGTCTCTCCTCCTTCTCTTGATGCCCTGGGGTGGGGGCGCTTCTTGGGTGCTAGAAGACTTTCACATTGTTCTCTGCAAAACGCCTGTGGCTCCTGCATGCCCTGTTAAGTCGTGAGCCGACCCTATCTCTCCCTTGTCACTGAGCTCAGGTGTGGCTTTTAAGAGGTGGTTAGGACTGCCTTGGGCAGATTATCTCTTTATTATTTTATTACATCTTGCTTTAGGGATTGCATGTCCTGGATGTTTACACTGCTTCCTCAGCTCACTTCTGTTTCTAGCATTTGATGTTTTTGTCTCATCTTTTTTTGGTGGGTGTTCATGTAAGAAATGCACGCAGTGCTGAAATAAGTCTCGACTGTAAGGGTGTTTTCTGTTAAAGGCTGCTATGGAGGTTTTATTTTTAAATTGTTAAATAGTGGACAATGGTAGGCTCATTTGCATTGGTTGTCTCAAATTGTGTTAAAATGGTGAATCGGTTTGTAATTGGGTGAAAAGTTAGTCCTGCTGACTAACAGTGCAGTTCTTTGGTAGATAGTATTGTGATTCAGAATAATCTCTTTATGCTTTTGGGGTTGCATTTCTAAATACTCTCAAAACAGTTTCTCGGGGCAGAGGCATTGGAGAACTGCTTCTCGGTCTGTTATTGTGTGCTTCTCATCTCCTTTTGCCGTCTTGAGGAATTAAGAGCATGTCTTGGTTTGGCTGTGGGGCTTTGCTTGTTCCTGGGAAATGCAGGTTGCTGTGGAGCACTGATTTCAAGTTGAATCTGCGTGTCTGCAGGGGTTCATCTGTCCGCAGTGTATGAAGTCCCACGCCTCTGCCGAAGAGCTCTTTAAGCACTATGAAGCGTTTCACGAAACTGCCAATCAGTCTGGTGGTCACGGGGGACTGTCCGTCCAGTCCACAGGAAGGTAAGGAGGCGGTGTCTCCCCGATCAAGTGGTCTCGACAGAGGTCTTGAAAATAATTTCAGTCTCGTGTAATGTGCTGCAGAGGCCAAGTGTAATATCGGTCCAATCTCAATTAAACCAATTAACTGAGATGGTTCTGAAAAATGTTTGTGGAAACACTTGTAATTGCCCGGAACTAAGCCAGCTTTAGAATCACGTTGCCAGAAATATGCAACCTATTTCTGTCCTGAATGTGTTTTGAAGAATGACTAAAGCTTTTTATCAGCTGGTCTCTTCTGTCTTCTTTGTGTGGTCTGCAATAAGAAAGCCCCTTTTATATTGCTGGAGCCCCGTCATCATATTCAGAGATGAGTCGGCTTATTTAGTGAATTACTTTACTTTGAATAATGGTAATTCTGAAATATATTTATTTGTTCTGTTTTATTCTTTCGCAGCAGGGAAGACGTAGCAATCCTTCGACAAGAAGTGCAGGATCTCCAAGCTTCACTTAAGGTTGGGTCCCTTTGTGTCATGTTCATAGTTGCCTTCAGACTCCTTTTTGAAATAGTTATGTTATGTTAGACTGTAATTACATCGATTATGTCCCAGTGATGTAATATAGCACAAAATAATGTTAAAGATAATGGAATGTTAGTTTCTTGTTTTCTTAAAGAAGTTTCATGTGATGGTACAGGTATTTAATGAATCAGATAGAATTCTGGACAGTAGCAAAGGTCATATATTTAGATTTTTTCACTGTGAAACATCTTCCTGATCACCCTGTAGATAGACAGTTGATAACAAACTGGTGAGCACTGGTGGAATCTATGTGGAAATACATTTAAGGCTGAAAAGAAGAGGCATTTCTTTATGCAAATGGTTTTGGAAATTCTGGACAAGCTGCCAAGCCATTTCTTTGAAGCTGATACTCTTTTTTCAAGAAATGGATGGAGCCATTAATGACTAACTATCGAGCAGGTTAGCTTGGCTGTTGCGATAATTAATTTATTAAGCAGATGGTCATACTGTGTCTTTTTTTAAGCAGTGCAACACTTATGTTGATGTCTAAAAAAGACAATCTTCCATACTAACCTTTTCAGAAACATTAAGAAATTAATAGTAGTATAAGTAATTCTGAGCAGATTTGATATTTACCTTGAACTTACTTTCTTCATTATTAAATGAAGACAAGACAAATCATTGTTCAACTCATCAATATGATTCATAAAAAGAATTTTATAATGATTAAGTAGGAAAATGTTTACTTTTACAATACATATAACTTAATAATCACAACTACTTCTATTCTGCCTGTTCGTTGGCTAGGCTGTATTTAAAATGACACTATTTTACTGCACCAGGTTATCAACCAAAGCAGTTTGACAAGTATGTGCAGCACAAAGAACACTTTCAAATTCGTTTTCAATTATACCCAAAGCAATGCTTCGTGCGTTGCCATTTGATATTGTTGAAATTTTAGGGTGCAGCATTCTCTTCCATTGTGACGTCCTTGAATTCTGCAGCACTTTCTTTATTTTGCTGTTAGAATTTCAATCCAAAACTATCACTGAGATTCCCGTTGTAACCATAAACTGTGCAAAATGTTTTGTGGTCTGCTTTGTCAAATCAGGACAGGATTTCTTTTGTTTTGGCTACCTTTGCACTCAACCTAGTAATATCAAAAGGTAAGAAGCTGACGTAGGGAGCTGCATCGGCATGTGTAAGCTTCAAAGGAAAAGGTAGAGCTTTATTCCATGCTGAAATGAAACGAGACAAATGTTTTGGCTGTGGAGCCTTCTTCAGGTGATCGAAAAAACATCTCATGATTAGGGTGGTTTAAAACATTTTGATAGAAACTAAGCAGTCTTCAAGGGGCATAATCAGTTCTTTCACTGCTCTGGCCTTTGTTAAATTTCTATCCTTATGAGTGAATATTTATACATATTTTTAATCGCTAAAATTAAATCTGAAACATTGAGCACCTGCTGTTTTTGTGAATTCACACACTTGAGACCAGTGTTTTATCATCAACACGAGTCAGCCAGTGCCAACTACAAACAGCCAGTGAACATATTTGCGTATTTAAAATGTAAATAAAATGATGCAGATGGAAAACCTAGACTATTGTGTTTTGTTATGCATTGGTAGTATGTTTTTTTTTTATTTCTCCAGGAGGAGCGATGGTTTTCTGAGGAACTGAAGAAAGAACTGGAAAAGGTTCAAGGGCAGCTGAAGCAAGTAATTCCACTAAAACATCTAAAACTGGGCATTAATCAAGAGTAAAGCAGTGCCCTTTGAAGCACGACTGTTAGAGAAGTTTCGTTATGTGCAACATTCCTTCCCAGTTATTAAGATCATCTATGCTGTGCATTAATGACAATTGATGTACAAGACATGTGGTTGGACTGTTTTTTCACTATACTCCTTCCTTCCTGCTTTTCCCCTTTGGGAAAACACGTCTAAATCGAGTGATGAGATTCAGCTTGTTACTTTTAAGTTCTTTATGGGGTATTTAGTCTTTTCCTTTGGCAGCATTTCTGTTTCAGTTTCATATTCAAATATGACAGTGCAGAAGGACTTGGCATTGATGCAAAGTGCTAAGGCCTTTCTCTCTGTGTATTGTTCACATAATTTTTTCCTTCAAGATCATTGTTTACCTTTTCCATTTCTTATTTAGCAGTTCTTCTTAAATAAATCTCTTTATTTTCAGCTTGATCATAGATTTTGCATAATTGAAGACTGCACACTGAGGAGGCTGCATTATAATACAGAGGGCACGACTCAGTTTCTGTATAGCGTGTCCATCTGCATCTTTTGTCGTTTTACAAACACTATGAAAATAACCAACGGCAGAGAATGACTTGAACGAGCCCGGATAAATACATTACTGTTAAATCATCTGGATATTTTGAATCTGATTGTGTATTAAGAAACTTATTTAGTAGACAAATATCTGCTAAATGCAGAGTCCAGTGTGAAACAAAAGCCAACATGCATGGTGGCATAAACACCAGAAAAAGTTGTGTGTTGCACTCAGATGTTATTTTAAGAGTATCATTTTATTCAAGGAATTAATGCAGGAACTCTATCCATCATGACAGGGCGGGGAAGAGCACTTCTTGAGTGTGGGTGCTGACTTGCAGAATTCCTGTGTAAATCCGGTGCTTGATGTCATCTCTTTAGTTAAAGTTTGTCTTGTCTTAGCCATTGAAAATACATTGTGTTCTAGGTTTAGATATTATAGCTGTCAGGTGGGTTGGAACTTCTTATTGTATTTACAGTCCTGATTAATATTATTATTTTTTTAGGGTCCACATACTGATGGAGTAGCAAGTGCTGAATCATCAGGTAAATGCACCGTCCGCGATGCCTGTAGGTTTTGGACTTTTGGTAAAGAAACTGCTTTGTGTCCCAGCTGTCATCTGAAACTGGGATGCAATGTGGTATCTTATCTGAACCACAGTCCGGTGGTGATGATTTCGCCCTGTGGTGGTGATTTCAGAGATGCAGTCGCTGGAACTGAAGCTGCAAGATGCTGAAACGGAAAAGTTCCACATCAAGCAAATGAAAGACTTGTTTGAGCAGAAAGCGGCACAGCTGGCCACTGAGATTGTAGGTAAGTGGGATGCCTTCCTGTAGGAGAGGTTATCTGAAGCCTGTTGCGGGAATGACGCAGCGTGGCATGAGCTGATCTGGCTATGTCGCCTGCAGACATCAAGTCCAAATACGATGAGGAGAAGGGCCTACGAGAGGCTTCGGAGCAGCGAGTCCTCAGCCTGTCCCAGGACCTGCAGAAGGAGAGAGAGGAGAAAGAGAAACTCCACACAGAGCTGGTAAAGTAATAGCATCTGTGTGCGTTGACTCCTGGCCTGCTGGGGAAAATCACGCGATTTCACTTGCTGACAGAATAGCATGTCGGCTGAAGTCATGTGTTGTTCAGCCTCACTGGCAGCCCAGGGTTAAGTTTCATCAGTCTCACAGGAAAGAGTTGAGAAGATAGGGCCGAGGGAGTGCTTTACAGTGTGTAGCTTTTGCAGGAAGGTCTTGGCTGGTGTTTCTGGTTTTGGAACTAATGCATGAGAACTAAGCTCTTGGCATGATCCATGAGGTCAGGACACATTCCTTAACTTGTGATCTTTAACCCCCTTATCGAACTTACTCTTGTCAGGTGGTCCTAACCTTTAAAGGAAAGGTGTTTCATGGATACACTGTTTTTTAATTCTATATTGTTCTAAACTGCAAGGGTTTCAAGAATAGCTTTATAACTGTGAAAAGGATTTTCTTCTCTGGATCTGTAATTACGTATTGATTTTTTGTAGGTGTCATTACTTGCTCTCTTTTCTTTAATGCATTACAAAAAGAGTCTGTCTTTAAAAAGTCCCTTTTGAATTCACAGTGGACCCTGTGCTGCTCCATGATATTGCTCAATGCACCGGTGCCTGTTCTGTTCAAAAGCAAGCAACCAAAACTGTTCATGTGAAGATGTTTTTAATGTGCCATTTCGATTTTTCCCTCCTCATCCTGAAACAAATGGAAACAAAAATTAAAGCAGCCCAGTAGTGAAGTGGAGTCCAGGATAGGACTCTGCCCTAGTTCTTCAGTAAGGGGTTCTTAAACCCTGAACTGAGGCAGCTTCCATATTGCATATACAGTAGGACAAAAAAGGAATACAAACTATGACCTAAAAGTTGAAATTGGTGGTTTTGTATTTCTGAATGATTCTCATAACATGAAAATAACCCGTATACAACTGGAACAACTGGGTTGTATACTCATGCAAGAGAAATTTGCCAGATCTTAATGGAATAATATTTTTTCTGAAATATTATAAGGCTCATGCCAGATGTTCAGATTTCTATGACAATGTTACTAATGCTTCTCTGGTGACGGTTTAGACAGCCATTGTTATAGTGGTTGTATATATAGGACGACATTAATCCTGATTAGGCGTGGCCATTTTTTGTTGTTGTGTCCCCCCAATTCTGGAGCTGCTGTCTGTTGTGTATTTTTCACGCTCTTCCTTTGGGAAGAGCATTTGGCGTGGAAATCGGACAGGCGCGGCGGGTGTTGCCACGCCCGCCGGCGGCCGCGCAGGTTTTTGCGTGGCGTTGGGTTCCGCGCGTGCCTGTGGACGGGGAAGGGCGCGGGCTGCCTGTGACGCTGCTCTGTGCCGCTCTCCCAGCTGCAGCGGCCCGGCGTGGAGGATGTGGAGGTGCTGAAGAGGGAGCTGGTGCAGGTGCAGACCCTCATGGACAACATGACCCAGGAGCGAGAGCAGGAATCCGAGCGCCTCAAGAACCAGTACAAGCAGCTGCAGGCCGAGTACACAGCCTCAGAGGTACGCCCGAGACGAGAAGAGACCGGTGGTCTCTTAGTCCATTAGTTAGTTACAGTGCTCGGGAACGAGATCGTGATTGTGCTTTAGGCATTTTCCAGATGGATCAGGACCGAAACTAGAACACAAATGCTGAATGCATTGAATTGCACCATAAACAATGAAACTCTGTAGTGTCCTTTCTCCGAGGCAATTTCTCTGACGGTAAGTTCTGTAGGGATCATTTGTACTGTTAAATTCTGTTGTTGTGTTTCATTCACTGTGCTGCGATTCATAATTAAGCAGTTTTAAATTATTTAAAGTGCCTCAGAGAGGAGGGCTAAGTTTTTAGTATATTGAAGCAACCGGGCTTTTTTTTTAATCAAGAGTGCTTGAGCGATTGTTTTATCTTTTGCTTCCCCCCCCCCCCAAGACAGCTTAGCCTTAGAAGAACTGTAAGCACTGAGCAAGGGACAATTTGTGAAACGCATAAACTAGAAGAATAATGAATGCAATGTTCACGACACTGTTGCCGAGTTTGCGCCACGCTGGTCCCGAATGTCTGTCACAAGCTATGCCAGATCCTGCTGTGATCATGCCTGGTACTCTCCCAGCTGGCATTCTGCTTCCATGGGCAACGGGAAGATAATTGAGTCAAAGGATCAGAAAGTGGGACATATCAGAAAAGATTAGTTGCATTAGAATAGAGAACAATGATTATATGAGGAAAATGATGAAACAATGAAACAAAAAATAGCTGTGAACCTAATTTCTGCTCTGTCCTGAAACAGGATGCCAAAACCTTTGAAGATCTGTCGCTGCCCAACATTGCCTCGCGCGTTTGTTTTTATTTTAAGTATATTTATAGATCTTGTGATTACCCCAAAATGCAGCTTCTTAAACCTTAGTGTCCAATCTATGGAGACATGCCTTGCAGTGTGGCTTAGAGGTGGAGTGCTGACACATACAGCACTTTCCCACACAGGGTACCTGGAGCTGATGCCTCCAGTTTGTGCCTTAATGAGTTTTTGCCATCATGCAGTACCTGTGGCTGCTGTTAATGTCTGTATTTGTTCTCCTTCTGTCTTCTTCCATCTGTTTTCTTCTTCTGCTTTCTGGTGGAGGTTCGTAAACTTGAGGTAATCTTCTTTCCACTGGTCTTGTCAACGTTGTACTGTTCATGTTGTCCGATGTGTAGTGGCTGTCTGTGGGTGGTTGTCCATTTTGACATACTGTGGGACAGACTGACTTCAGCTTCACGGCTGTTGTTCACCTTCTGCTGCTGTGCATCAAAACGCTTTCGTCCCACAAAGGAGCTGAGGCATTGACGTCAGCAGTTCGCATTTTTAAGACGTTTTTAAACTTGACTTTTACTGCATTTACATGTACTGCAGGTACATTATTCAGTGTTCCGTAACCCTGTCAAGAGCTTCTCTTCTTTTGAGTTTTGCTATCAGTCTTGAATTTTAGATGATTCAAAACCCTGGTGAAGAAGAGTTGGCATTCTTGAACTGAGATGATGTTTACATGTTCTGAAGACTATATACAATCTCTGAAAGTGAGCCTTTTCTCTGATGTGAAGAATGTAATATTCCATTCCTGCGTTGTAATAAACATCTACCTATCAACTTTTATAATTAAGCTTTTTATTCATATTAAAATGTGTATTTGTGTGTTAATAAAATGCTTTTTGTTCATTTTTTATTAAGTATTATGTTGGTGTCATGAAACTTACTGTATCAAATGATGTAGATGGATATTTTTTGTGAAACCAAAAATAAGGAAGATTGTTTTTTCTTGTTAACGCCTAGTTCAGGAAGGTCTGCAGATTTCTTTGGAGGCATTTTGTGAAAGGACTTTTTTTGAACGTGTGGTCAGTAAACACTGTGCTTTCTGCTTAGACTACGATATCCCAGATGCGGGCGGAGCTGGAGAAGGGTCCCCAGGAGGTGGCTGTGTACACGCAGCAGCTGCACAAGCTGCAGAGCTCCCTGAATGGACTTCAGCAGCAGAACCAGGTAAGGCAGGAGCAGAGTGACTCTCCTAACAGGATGCACGCGTGCTGTGTAATGGCACTGCTACAAATGCCAACATGCTCTGGTTGTTGTGCCTTGCTGGGGGTGATTCAGCCTTATAGAGAACAAAGCCTGATTAAATCCGAATCATAAACATAAGCTTGCAGTAATGTTTTTATTTTAAAGTTGAAGAGGGGAGCTGCGTCAGCGTTTGTTGGCTGCAAAGCAACAAGCAAACATTAATTCCGTGCTTGGAAAGAAAGCTGTTAAGCCTTTAGCAAGTGTTTTTAATTTAGACTTTTTGTTTAATGTTTAATTCACACAGAGCTGTGGTTTATTTTTTGAAACGTAGGCATAAAACCTGTAGATTATTATTTAGGTTTCTCTTTTAAATAGAGTTAATTAAACAGTTAAACCCTATCAGTGCAATCATATTAAATGCATCATGCAATTATTAAAATAATTAAGTCAAAACAATCACAGCATGTAATTCTCTGACCAAAATGTACAAAAGTACTTAAATCCAGACCTTAAATATGCAGCCTAATGTAACTGAAACAAAAACAATGCAAGAGACATGAGTAAGTAACATAAGTAGATTCAGATTATCTGAACCCCAGGCATTGGTGACTTTAATCTCTCACTCCCATATTTTTACTGTGAAGAGGTTCTAAAATCAATTCAGGAAGTAACCTTTCTTCCCATGAAAAATAAATCTGGAACTGGGGCCATGCGTCTACATGCTGGAATCGTTACAGTTATAGCTTTCTGTTGACGGTAATGTTTCAGGATATTTAGAAACCCTGTCATCAGGGCTCTCATAACTTTGATACATGTGCATTCTTTCCAGCGCCTGTCTGTGAGAATATGTAGTAAGTGAACTATACGCTCACAAGCGAATATGGAATGTCCACGGGTTACAGTCACATAACTGCCTGCACAAGACCGCTACTAAGAGTCAGCCGGTGGCTCAGAGTACCTGTCGGTGCTTTGTTGCAATTCCTCATCGTCGTTTTCTGTTTTGTTGTCGTTCTTGTTGTTTAAAACATAAAACTGTATCCAAATTTATTTTATCTGATGGAGAGAAAGAGCTTCTTTTACCTCTGATAAAGAGAAGTCTCAAGACTATTCATGTCTTGTGTAGAGAGTTTTGAGTTGTGTCATCAAGAAAGCCCTGGATTTTATTCAAAGAGCTAGTCTTCAGCTGAATATAGTTAAAAACACCAAGTGAGAAAAACAAAATATTTCTTGACAGAAGTCGTCAAATTGTTCTCTGTTCAAGGCAAACTGTTTTAACTGTCAGTAACTCATATTGAGTAATATATTGCAACTGAGGACACATAATTACCCTAGTCCTGCTAATTAAACTTGTCTGATAACTTTGAGTAAAGAACTTTTATATGGAAGAGCAAAGAGAGTTCTTCTCAATCTGTTTGCTTTTTGCGATATCTAGCCAGCTAGTATTAATATTCTATTAGATTACAGATGTCATCAAACCGAATATTACTCTAAACCCACGTTACACTGCACAGCCGAATTAAGGTGTAATCAAGGATAATTTTACATCACGCATTGGGAGCTTTTATCATGGAGAATAAAATGTCTAAAATGCTCTTTGTCTTTGTTTGGCATTTTGGCACGGTCTGGTATGGTTGTCAGGGATTCAGCTTCAGTGCCAAGCACGCCTTGATGATGTATTTACCTTGGAAGCAAAAAAAAATGTCCAGACGATGTTGTGTGGGGCAGGGAGAGGTCCCGTTGCATGAATCATTTTGCCCTCTCTGGGTTAGATTAGTGCTGAGCCTTTGTTTGGCAGAGAGTGTGTAACATTTGTCGGATAAAATCTCTATTAAAAGATGGCAGCTGTAGACCTCACAGCTTCTCTTCCCTAACGTGAGGAAGCCCATTCAATAATCAGAAATGAGTAAAATATGTAGCAGTATGTCATCTTCATCTCTCTTCAGTGGTGGTTTAAAAAAAGCCTGCTGCTCTGGAGTAAAAATTCAGTGTCGATTTCTGGGTATCTCTTAATTTGGCAATTTCCAGCATCTTATTCTGTAAATTTAGCCCTCCTTAATCTGCCTGCTCTTGTGCCTGTATTGGCCAATGTTTAAAACCAAATATCTTATGCAATTAATAAAATTAATATAATTATTGATACTGTATATTTAATGTGTCATAAAATACTAAATTCTAGTATAAATAATGCTTTAGCATATTTTTTTAGGGACACATATACTGTAATCTTGATGTAGAAGTTAATTCAGAGGAATAAACTTTTACTTTCAAGAGGTGATAAAAGCTACAGTCTGCCTGATTATCGCCAAAGAGCTTTTCACAATTTTCATCTTTTTTCATTTTAAAAGATGGTGGTACACTTACTGTAACTGAAATTACTTAAAAGGAACAAAAATAGTATTTTAAATGGAACTTTCATATTTAATATCTTGGTATGTTAGCAGTGGAGGCAAGTGTGTTTATAATGAGTCATTCTGTTCATTGGTCATAATATTTTATGATGACGTGAAATTAATACATTATACACGTGGTACACATTCAGCCCCCTTCGTCAGCTGCCTTGTGCTGTGTGAACGTTCCATCCAGGTGTTTGTCAGACGTTTTGTGTTGAGATTGAGCTACAGAAGATTTCTTCCAGTGAGGAAGTATCCACTTAGGGTAGAAATGAACAGGTGTGCAGTTCAGTAACAAGATGGCTCACGCGTGGCAAACAGTGTGCAAGCATCCATTTACATGCTCACCTGAAATGGGTGGGAATGAACCCCAATGACTTTGTTTTAATATGTCATAGTTGCATTTTTCATAGTGCCAGAAACAAAAGCTGAAATTCTGTACTTTTCCCTATTATTATTGTTTTCATCTGAAATACAAATTCCATTAAACCCAACCAAAATGATTCATTTCACTTCAAAGGCCCAATACTTGTGCATCTGGCAGTGTACAACCTGTTTCTCAGGGCAGGTAGGGTCGTTACTGTGATCGAATACGATGAAAGATGGGGTGGATCCTCTGTCAGCTGATCCGTGGTCCTACGCAACTGTTTCCAGAGTCTGTCGGAGAAATTGTCCAAGAAAGACCAGGAGTGCCGGGAGCTGGATGAACGCCTTGGCGAGGAGCTGGCCAGCAAGAAGAGCCTGCAAGCCAGCCTGCACCAGAAGGAGCTTGACTGCCAGCAGCTCCGGGCCCAGGCCTCGTCCACGGACGCCTCTCTCCAGAGAGCCCAGGCGGAGCTCAGCGAGAGAGGGGAGACCAGCCACAAGCTGAAGCAGGAGCTGTCGGAGCTGGAGGTCAAGCACCAGCAGCTCAAAGCTGAGTTCAAGCAGCTCCAGCAGCAGAAGGAAGAGAAGGAACAGCAAGGGCTCCATCAACAGACTGAGATCAACCAGGTAGGGGTGGTCTTAATAAGAGCTTTAGACATTTTTTTTGCAAAAGCCTATCATTTTGTCTTCTGACAGCCTTGCGTTCTGTAATGTTGTTTTGTCTCAGAGGCCAGTTAAAGTCAAAACAACACAAATATTTCTAACCATAAATAGTGAGTCTTTGATGAGCTTTTTCAACATTTCTTCATAGACTATTTCGTAGTCTTGGAAAAAGCTAGTATGATGAAACGATATCGTATTCATTTCATTCCGAAATGGAGTTTTTTTTTTTTTAAAGCGGCATAATGTTGGACAGATGGTCAGAATTTTTTTTACGTTTACTGCCTCCGATGCATATAGATTTAGCCTGAACACGATGCCGTCCTACATTAAAAAGAAGGTAATGAGCTAACGTACTGTACTCCCTCTCACTCCGTTGTTTCTGCTCTGATGCGCCAAATTGGCGGAGCTTTAGAGGATTCTGTCAAGGATCCTACATTGCGTCAGTGCTTTTACAACCTTTTTTTCATTTCCCTTAGTGACGGGACTTTTCCCACCTCGTTGCATAAAAGTGCTCAGTGGGGGAGAGCGCGTACAAATGAAATGAAAGAGCCGTCGGCTGACATTTCCGTGACGCTTCCACTGAGCGTTCCGCACACACACGCGTGGTTGATTTTGCCCCGGAGCTCCAGGTGGCCCTCCTCAGGTGGGTGGGGCTGGGCCGGAGCCCGGGTCACCCTGAGTGTGTGTGTGTGTTCCCTTGCAGCTGCACGCCAAGCTGCTGGAGGCGGAGCGCCAGCTCGGGGAGGTGCAGGGCCGCCTGAAGGAGCAGCGGCAGCTCTCGGGGGAGAAGCTGAAGGACCGGGAGCAGCAGGTGGCCGACCTGCAGCTCAAGCTCTCGCGGGCCGAGGAACAGGTGGGCTTGATGCTCCACCCGCCCCGCCGGCGGGAAGCGGGCTGTGTCGCTGTGCGTCTCCCCCTCTTGTCCATCCAGCCCTTCCATCGCGTGTCGCCAAGTAAAACTGCAAGCTAAGGAACCAACCGAATGTTGCAGCTCAGAACACATGAATCCGATTTTGCATTTGGGCAACTATGTATAGTAAGTAAATGAAAAACCTCATGGTGTCAGTGGATGACCAGTCAAGGCCTCAAGCATGTTAACTTCTCTCATTACTTTATAGAAATGCAACACATATGCTGGAATTAGTCTTGGGTGGTATTTGCTGTTTTCAGAGTCCTGCCATCTAATGAAACACTTCTAGTCTCTGTGCTACAAAGTGTTTCTGAAAAGATTGACCTTTCCCTGATTAAATGTTTCTGTTATATCCAGAATTACGGACACTGCTTTTCACCCAAATAACACCTTTGACCATGCAACGATAAGCTTTTAGATTTAATTTAATGACATTCCATACATCATTAGTTAATACATAATAATATATTATTATTTCATACATTATTACAATGATTATTATGCTCATTTAATTGAATGGATTTGGATTTCACAAAGAATGGCCTGGCTTTCTAGAGTTTAATCACATTGTTGAATAGTAATAATAGTAATAATTCCTTACACCTATATAGAGCTTTTCTGGACACTCCACTGAAAGAGCTTTATAGGTAATGGGGACTCTCCTCCACTGCCACCAGTGTGTAGCCCCACCTGGATGATGCAACGGCAGCCAAAGTTTGCCAGTATGCTTACCACACATCAGCTATCAGTGGGGAGGAGAGCAGTGATGAAACCAATTCAATGTAAACCCATATATCCTTCAGGATGACAAATCGGGAAGAAAATACACTGAACAGTTGGAAGATTACTTTATTACATGACCACAAGCATGCTTGATCCCCATTAGACAATTATGTAAGTATGTTCAAGTTAAACCTCAACTAAACAAAGGTATTTGATCGTACAATTAATTTTAACAGAACTAACTCACTTTTACTGACTTTTACGTTTAGTGACAAGGCAGGGCGTTAACTTTGAAATTGGCTAAAAATAAAAATTGAGATATCAGAGTATTACAATTACCTGTCACCTGCAGTCCAACAGGAGATTTGACATTGGATCCCAAAGAAATTTATAATAAGTTCAAAACATTTTCCGTTACTTCATACAAACCTCAACATGAAGCCAGCTCTGATGTCAGACACAATTTTCTCAATGGCATGAAATGTAATAAAATAACTGAAGATAGTCTGGAAGTCTTGCTTTTCTCAGAAAAAACTGTGCAAAACAGTGTTCGGGATGCAGCCTGGAAAACAACCAGGAAATGATGGGTTACACTTCATGGGTTTTTAGGTATTTTTGAATACGAATCTCCCTTCTGTTTTTAACAGTGGTTTCTTGTTATGCCTTATTCTTAATCACTTTTTAGTTTGTTACTATTCAAACATAATAAGGCCCCTACTTCAAGCGCGAGATACCACCCCTTTCACTTTTGAAGGAAAGCATTAAGCTCACAATTTACAGTGAGTTGTTTCTCAAATACTTCTTATTTCTAATTTTTAAACCTAATTTGTTAATGGCAGGTACTCATCTGATAAACATAAGAATGCCTGGTCAGCTTGGCCCTCTAAGCTCTAAGCTAAATGTATTGATACTCATACAGTGGTGGTATACCCTTATTCTAAGAAAGCTTTTGGTAGCTTTCAAGCACATAAGATGGCTTTTCTATGTACAGAAGGTATGTACATAGGTCTTCAGATGAATCGTTACTTTTTATCGTTTTAACTAAACTTCTCTTGAGATGGAGCAGAAAAGCTGCACCCATAGTCACTGGTATAGTGATGCAGCATGCATTCCTCTCAAGACTCAGTACAACCTAAAGAGACACCCGGTTGCTCTGAGCAGTGAACACTTGTAGTGTTTTGTACAAATGAAAAAAGGGACTCTTTTTAGACCCTCAATGTACTGTGTCATCTGCTCCCTCTTCACCCAGGACGGCTTTCCATTCCTTGCCTCACAGGGAACTGCACGTTCGAAAGAAAGCTCCAGTGTGTTGCTGTTTATTAATCATGTTCCATCACACGTTTCATCTCCTGTTGTTCTGGACACATGTCCAATTTAGAGGACCCTTCCTCGCTCAGCTGTCATGTCAGTGACTCACTGTACAGTCCGGCACACGTAGGAGCGTTGAAAGAAAAGCTAAGAGGAAGGCCTGCAGCCTTGAGCATTTCCTCGCTCAAGCGGTAGCCACGGGAGGGCAGGGCATTAGAAAGGGCCTGTACTTATTCAGCCAAGTCAGCGGCCAGATAAGCATTCACCCCAAGATGCAAGCATTGATTTAAGAAGCTTCAAATAGGTTTTAGAACGTTTCTTCTTCTTTTTTTTTTCCGATTTATTGCTGGCAGTTGAAGGAGAACGCCACAAAGTCGACTGACTTGCAGCACCAGCTTGACAAGGCTAGACAGCAGCATCAGGAGGTGCAGGCTCTGCAGCAAAGCACCAACGCCAAGCTGCGCGAGGCCCAGGTGAGCACGCTTTTATGAAGAGCTGACTTAGGGGTGAATGTTGTTTAGCCATAGTCCAACTCCAGTTCATCCAACACAAAGCCAAGAGCACTCAGAGGCTGCATTGTCCTGTAGCGGGACCTGATGTGTCATGCATATCCGCAGTGAGGTGGCACAGGAAGGAGACTTGTCAGAGAATTTGAACTGAATTAAAGAGCTTGCCAGAGAAAGAAGGAAGGAGGACTGGGAGACCTGACAGGAAGATAGACTTTGGTTTTGATGCGTCAGGGATCGGCAGTTTAAAAACCTCTGTAGTGTGAAACGTTTTCATTCATTCAGGGATCACAAAGCGTTTACACCTAAGAGTGATGCCAGTTCAGGAATGGAAGCAGCAGCTGCCACGCCAACCTCAGTTTAACATGTCCTTTGAAAGATGTGTGTCCTTGGCCACTGTAGTGTGTAGTTTGCTTTTCAGGCAAGGATATGTAATACATTCAGCAATAATCGGACCGCTTCTGGTCAAGGTTAGGGTCTCCAAAAAAACATCGGAGTAGATGAAGCTAAGAGCTGATAGTTTTTGACCCTCACCATTTCATTGATTAGTAGTATTGATAAGAACCTTTTTCGTTTTTAATTATTGACAAATATGAGAACCTGATTTTTAAAAATCCCATTAATGTATAAAACAAAACTAGACTTCACCGCTGAGTGTATGTTTTCTGTGCATAGAGGTCTTTCCTGTAAGTTGTGTTTTAATATGGGAACAATTGTATGATATACAGTGTGGTACATCACTTCCTCTTTTCACTTTCACTGTCCCAGGTTATACAAAATGGGTATGTTTGGTTGTCTAACCTGTCCTAAATGTATGTGAATGTACTCCATTGTTGTAGAATGATCTGGAGCAGGTGCTGCGTCAGATTGGTGATAAAGACCAGAAGATCCAAAATCTGGAGGCCCTGCTTCAGAAAAGCAAAGATAACATCAGCCAGCTGGAGGCAGAGAGGGAGGACCTGTGTGCCAAGATCCAGGCTGGTGAGGGGGAAACCGCAGTGCTCAGTCAGCTCCAGGAGAAGAACCACGCACTGCAGGAGCAGGTACAGCCTCCCGCACCCCTGAGCACAGTTCCTGTGTAACTAAAAACACTGAACCTACTGTAACACCGCACCCCTGAGCACAGCTCCTGTGTAACTAAAAACACTGAACCTAACACCGCACCCCTGAACACAGCTCCTGTATAACTAAAAACACAGAACCCTACCACCACACCCCTGAACACAGTTCCTGTGTAACTATAAACACTGAACCTAGCACCACACCCCTGAACACAGCTCCTGTGAAACTAAAAACACTGAACCTAGCACCACATCTCTGAACACAGCTCTTGTGGCACCAAACACTTTGCCCTGTAAACTGTATTCTTTTAACATTTTTTGGGGCTGATAAGGTTTCCCAGTTAAAGTTATAGTCCTCATTCAATTTTCATTCCACAGCTTTAAAAAGGCTTCTACTGACCGCAAACTACGAAAGGTGCACTTCCTTGTGATGTTCCCATTAGAATTGAGCCTGTGTAAAATGAGCTGTTTTGGCAAGCTCCCCCCACACAAACTTTTTTATTTCTCTGCATTAAATCTCTTCTCATTAGGAGGTCTCCTGATAGAATATTTTTAGCATTTTGCTAAATAGGGTGTGCATGAAATAAAACCAGATCATTTTAAAGCAATCAAAACCATTGCTTTTGTACTCTTCAGGTATCTATATAACACATAAAAGACCCAGTTTCACGTTTTAAAATATATAACAACAAGCACCACAAATATTTCTATTGCAATACTTTGTGAATATTCGGTTGCTTAGTTTAAAAATGTGAAATTATGTAAAATGTGTAAAGAGTCATTCTTTAATTGTTCATTTAGTGCTTGAAATAGCATCATAATAATTATTAATTATGTTTATATCGCACTCTTCATATCAGGGGAACACAAAGGATTTTACACGTAAGAGTGGCCAAACTTCATCTACAGAAGCAGGAGCATGGGAGTGGAATTGAGCCAGTGTTAACACCCCTACTCTGTTGAACTGTTCCATGGGATCTGTAATGCACAGCCTCAGTTTCATATCTGCTCTGAAAGATGGTACCTTCTAATGTACTGCACATTGTCCCCGGTCACCGTATTGATGCATTTGTTTAGTAAATTCTGCTCCAGGGGAAGGAGTGCCACCTACTGGTCTGCCAGTGGAGGTCTTCCATCCCAATACTGACCAAAACCAGGCTTTCATAGTTTCAGTGATCTGACGAAATCGGGCGACAAGTGGAATCTGATGGAAAAACTTTCAGATTTTCAAGCCGTGTGAGGATTAAATGACCTCTTTGTGGGTCCTCCACTTCTGTGCTGCGCTTGATGTACAGTGTGGGTGGTCGTGTTGCAGGTCGCCCAGTTGACCGACAAGCTGAAGAACCAGTCGGAGAGCCACAAGCAGGCCCAGGACAACCTGCATGAGCAAGTCCAGGAGCAGAAGACGCACCTGCAGACCGCGCGAGACCGCTGCCTCTCGCTGGAGGCCTCCCTCAAGGAGATTAACGCCCAGCTCGCAGAGAGCAGAGAGAAGGTGGCCCAGCTAGATACTCAGGTATGTGCAAACTGAGAAGAATAGGAGAAACAAAGCTTCCTCACCTTCATTGAAAGATGGGGCAGGCATGATCACACTGCATACAAAAATCTCAAATACGATATAAACTCTGATGTAAAACCAGCAAAGAGAAACCTGAGAAATTGTCTGTTTCCTATAAATCTGAAACACACTGCAAGGAGTTAAAACCTCCTTTAAGATACCAAATATAAGATTGTTTTTGTTAAAGTTAGAAAAGTGTGGATGTTTTGTATTTTTTATATTATATGAGCCTCCACGGTTCATCTGGGGTGTGCTGCAGCATTAAATGCACAGTTTTGATTAGGACATTAAAGGGGAATGTTATTTTTTTATTTCATGGTTATGATGAGTGCATTCCAAACCATAGTAAAAGTAAGATCTATGTAGTAACTCGTAAAACCTCCAATTTACAGTACATCTCAAAATAGACTGTGTTTCCAGGAATGCACAGTGCCATGTTCAGAATTGAGGTAACAGAACTTGCAGTGATGTGCTGCGGCCTTATTACATTGTAAAGAAGCAGGCTTGTGAATACATCTCTTTTAATCCAATAGAAATATTCCTCTCCGCTACCATACGATTTTACTGACAAATACAACTTGTAAACTCTGCATGCAGGTCACGTTGGAACAAACCTGTACCTTTTGACTCATACGTCACATTACATTAGTCATCACAGTGACTAGTGAGCAGGAAGGGCAGCATCACGTCACAATCTGTGCAAACTCTCGATCTTGCCTGTGACGAGACGAGGGGTTTTGCGACAGCACGGCGCCATCCAGTCCTTTCACAAAGTTCACCATTTTTTGCTAAAATTGAATTTTTACAAATGTTTCTGTACGGGCAGTGAATGTTCTTTGTTTCTGAGATTTAATAACCGGTCTGAGAAATTGGGACAGCAGTTCCCCTTTAAATCATGCAGGGACGCTACATGAATTGCTAAAACAGAGCAGTAGCTCAGCTGCATATTTAATGACAGAAAAGGCCGAAGGTCTGACTGAGGTTAGTGTTTCAGCTGAAGGCAAAGACCGAGCTGCTGCTGTCTGCTGAAGCTGCCAAGACTGCCCAGAGGGCTGACCTGCAGAATCACCTGGAGACAGCCCAGCATGCACTGCAGGACAAACAGCAGGTAAGGAAGACCTCATCCATGGTCTTCATCAGCATCTCAAGTGAACATACAGTACTGTATATAGGTTGTGAAGCAGCATATATGGATAAGTCAGAAATAGCTCTCGTAGTTACATCTTTGAGAGGTGAAGGACCCAGTTCTAATGAAATATGAACTTAATCAAATGCTAAATCTTTCACTCCATTAACTGTTGAGCAGACTGGTATATCCCACCCTGTTTGCAATTGGGCATAATGAACATGTCACTGACACTCAGCAGCTTGAGTAGCGTAGCAGTGGCTCTCTGGCTAAAGATCTGCGCCTGTGGCTGGAAGGTTGCCGGTTTGTATCCCGCAGGCCTGGAGAGGAATCCTACTCCGTTGGGCCCCTGAGTGAGGCCCTTAACCCCAGCTGCTCCAGGGGTGCTGTATAAATGGCTGACCCTGCACTATGACCCCAAGCTTCTCTCCCTGTCTGTGTGTCTCATGGAGAGCAAGTTGGGGTATGCGAAAAGACAAATTCCTAATGCAAGAAATTGTATACGGCCAATAAAGTGATCCTATCTTAAGAAATACTGGGTCCGGGAAAGTCAGAGGCAGGAAAAGTTGAGCCTGGAAAGGGAAATGTAAAATCTGTAGTAATATAGTACAGTGGATGTAGTGAGGGATTGTCACGAGCATGACTTTACCCAATAATAGGATGATTTCACAGATCTGCCTTGGCTCTCAGAATTGCTTCAGGAAATCAGCTGCATTTCTAGGGGGAAATGTTTTTCGAAAACCTCCACTGGGTTGTAGCTACTTCGTCTCATTTCGTTGACCTCCCTGCCTCTTCTCTCCTTGCAGGAGCTGACCAAAAGCAAAGCTCAGCTGGAAGAGCTGAGTGCCAAGCTGCAGGACAAGCAGGAGTTCTGCAGCCAGCTGGAGAGCAGTCAGAAGGAGTTCAGGGAGAAGCTGCTGAGCTCTGAGCACAAGGTGGAGCAGCTGGAAGGGCAGGTGAAGGTGAGTGTCCCGATCACTGCATAGCAGCCTCACAGCTCCTCTGTACACCTCGGGCATGAATGGCAAGTTAAATAGACTTCCTGTTCAAATCTGGCAGGGTTGTATGAGCTCTCAGAATATTGCTTTTCTCATGCAAAATGTTATTAGCATCCTTTTATTGGCATTTTATTTGATGGTGATTGTTTTCCATGAACCTAGAACTGACGAGACTAGTAAATATGTTTTACAAAAAAAATTGAGCACACTATGGTATTGCTTTGCTAATCATGTTGTTTGTGATTTGGAGGCTGATAGGTGATAGTATTGACTAGATGGTAAAGCAATTATAAATAAATGCAGAAATGTAAATTGTATGCTGTGATGGGAAAGTTCTATTTTGTGAACTGCAGATATACTTTTATATAAACCTAGTAGGCAGAGACAACTTAAAAAAAAACTTTACCAGACATTATAAAAATGAGCAGATTTGGTCACCAAATTGCATGAAAGATATTGCTGCTCTGGAATGAGTCCAGAGGACAGCAACCAGATACGTTCTGGAGCTCAAGGGACTGTCCTACACTGACAGGCTGAGGGCTATGAGGGCGCTAATCCAAGTATTACAGATTCCTCAAAGACATTGATAAAGTAAACCCAGTGGAGTTCGTCAGAATTGCAGTGAAACATGAAAGAGATGTTACAGTTGGAGACAAGGTGGTAGTTCAATTATATCTGAAGCCAGGAGGGCTAGTCTTTTTGCATTCGTCTCGAGAGACCCTTTCAGCCCTGCCTTTTAACAGTAGCATGTCCGGTCAGGGGTCTTCAGGTGTCTGTCGTTACTTCAACAGAAGCTGGAGGCGGATCTCCAGGAAGTGAGGACCAGCAAGGGGCAGCTTCAGCAGGAGCTGCAGAAACAGAGGCAGCAGGTCTCTGAAACCGACAGCCGAGCAAAGGAGCTCAGCAAGCAGCTGGATGCAGAGAAGAGGGGGTAAGACACCCAGAAGTACCGCCAAAAGACACGTAGAGCCACCTATGGGAGAACATTGCCAGCCCAAAGCGTTATTGTTGTAATAATGAGGCAAGGTAATTCTCTGTCAAAGCTCTGCTGATGATGGAGCTCAGTAGTTTCCACAAAGATGTGAAGGCATTTGTGTAAAAAATGTCCTCTCATTAAGAATGGCTACAGTATCCCTGAATTATTTCAAGTACGGAGCTGTGTCAGCATGCATAGGCTGCAAAGGAACAAGTAAAAGCTTTATTCCGTGCTGAAGAGAGAGGAAAGGAAACGCAACGTTTCAGCTGTGGAGCCTTATGTTGTGGGTTTGATTTATTGTCTCCGTTAGTGATAGAGCTCATCAAGGTAAGAAGGAATAAGTATTAGAAATGACAATCGCATTTTAACTAGTAGAGGTTTCTGCTTTAAGTTAAATATTGTTCAGAAGCATTTAGATGTGAGTGAAACAAAATGTGGTGCACAGTGCTTTATACCTAACAGTGCCAATGACACTTTAAAGGCAGTGGATACCCATTGTAGGTGCTAAGACATTTTTAAATAAGCTCTATCACATGTGAGCCAGGTACATCATTTAAGTTGTGTCCCCTCCTGGGGCTGGAGAGCCCTGATCTAGCAGCATTTCTAAGTGGTTGATAGATCAAAAATCTAAAAAGATATTAAGGAATTTAATTGTCATCCTTTAAGCAGGTTAAGGAGTAAATTAAGCAACTGGGGTGTCATTTGGAACAAAATGATGAGTGTCCTTCATCCATCAAAAGACCAGATTTCCCTTTATTAAGAAAAATGCTTGCTTAATTGATCAGTTACTCAGAGCTGTTCACAATAATTGGGTGGCTAAGAGTTACTGGATTTGCACTCTCCTGAACCAGGAGTGGTTAAATTGTTCTTAAAATCCATCTTAAATTGTTTATTTGCTGCCTGTCTTCCTGAAGGGCTGCAGACCTGAAAGAAGAACTGCGGAAGAAATCCAGTGCTCTGGAAGAGACGACGCAGAAGCTGAGCAAGAGAGAGGAAGAATGCCAGGGCCTCAAGCAGAGCCTGGAGAAAATATCCCAAGAGGCCAAGACACGGCAGGCTGAGCTAGAGGCCAGAGTTCAGTCCCTAACGGGGGCCCTTCAGAAAACACAGGAGGAAAAGGAGTCTCTCTCGAAAGATCTCTCGACGGCCAAGGAGAACCTGTCCAACGTCTCGCAGTCTCTGAAAGAGACACAGGCTCAGTTTCAGAAAGAGAGACAAAGTGCAAAGGCTTCGCTGGACGAGAAGGTTGGCTGATTTAATATTCTTTGATTGATGACTATGAAATTGCAGGATTTATGTGAAAAATAATTTCACATAATAAGTAATTATGATGTCTGGTGGCATGATGCTCAAGACTACCTTACCAGTTTGTATGTACACTTGTATGGAAATGTTTAGCCGGCCCTGGTCAAATTGTAAGTTTCAGTGAATTTCTAAGTAAAAAGAGATTGACACAACCCTTTACAGATTTACAGATTTGTAGATATTCAAATTAAAACGGTGAGTATGGCATTTGCAAACATTCAGGCACCCCGTCATTGTGTACTTGGTAGCACCTCCATCCACAGAAATGACAACTTCCAAACATGTCCTGTAGCCAGCATTTTCATTTCCCGGAGGATTTCCCCCAGTGTATTTTACCCAGTATGTGCAGTGTTGGAGTTCACGTTAGGGTTACGAATGCAGGGCTCACTTGTGTCCTTCTCAGTGTGCACAACAGCCAGTACTGGGTGAACTGGAAACTTCCCTCAAGTACAAAATTCCCATGAATCCCCCCCTAACCTAACCTAATATAAACCTAACCGGCATGTTCAGGAGGTTAAAGGAGCACCCAGTGAAAGCCAGGTTACACAGAGAATGTGCACACTTCACACAGTTTTCCGCTTGTGTTTAATCTTTAGACCACGTGTTTCTTGAAAGAAGCCAGGATATGGACTTCGTTCATAGCTTCGTTCTTTGAGTAAAGCTGTGCCTCCGCTTCTGAGTTTTAATTGCACTTCCACGTAGCTCCAGCTTTTGTCCCGTGGCTCCTCTTTCACTGTTTATTCCGACGAAATCTGCTCAATTAACTTTTAAGGATTTTAAATATTTGCGTCTGGTCCACTCATGGTCTTCGGTGTTCAAGACTAAGAAGGTTGAGTTCCTTCAGCCTGTCTGTGTAGGACATTCCCTTGAGCCCTAGAATCCACCTGGTTGCTCTTCTCTGGACTGACTCCAGGACAGTAATATCTGTTCTTTAACATGGTGACCAGAATTGTACATAATATTCTAAATGACACGTTCATTTGTGGATTATGAGCGTCCTTCAATGACAATTTTCAAAAGTTTGCCCATATTCATTTTTCACCATATTGTCTAGAATATGTAAATGTCTCAGGATAAACACCTTAGTCTTTTTCATAAGGAGTCTGTCCTAGCTCAGGCTTCCTCTTTCTATTTGTAGTTTACATCTTCATGCAAAACCCTGTACCCATATTGCACTTTATCTGCCAGGTTTTTGCCCAGTCGTGACATTTTGAAACAAATCCTTTTGAATTTCATTGTCTGCGAGAGTTTCCTGATCTCCCTAAATTGGTATCGAATGCTCCAACAATGTCCAAGTGCTCCAGCAACAGTCCTGTTTAAGCTTATGTATGAACTTGCGTTTCTCGGAATGAGACTTCAAGTCTTTAAGATGGTAACTGTTATTTATGACAAAAGTTTATCCAAAGAGAAATGCGCAAGCTACTGCCAGCAAGATGGGAAACTTTTACTCGTGCTGTTGTTTTGACAAAGAGATTATTTTGTACTATTTCTAAAATAAACTACTCAAAGACCATAAGTGGAAGATTATTTTTTTTTTACTCTCTTTAGGAAAAATCTCTTCAGCAAGTCCGACTGGAGCTTCAGAAGAAAGCCGAGTGTGCTTCTAAAGAAATCAGTGAAGTGAAAGGTCTTCTCCAAAAGAGGGAAGAGGTAATTAAAATAAAGATCTTTGTCACAGAGTTGTTTTGTATGGGCTTTAATGCTTTCCCAAAGCTATGTGCATCTTAGTTTTGTAAACATGGTAGAACTGTGTGGTACTCTGCAGAGCTTTCACTTTGTGAGGACAAAATAATAGTTCTTATAGTCAGTTACCCGTCTGAATTCACACTCACAGGTTAGTTTCTTCAATTTTAAAGCTCTCAGGACAGGTAAACATTCTCTGTGTAGGTGCATATTGCACTATTTTCCGTACTGTTTTCCAAGTCTTGACACATAATGGCCTTTGAAAGTCAGTAAGTCAGAAAGGCCTATTGTTTTTGCAGAGCGAGAAGGAGCTGAAAACCCAGTTGACGTCTCTAACAGCACAGCTTTCAAAGGCACAAGAGGGTCTGAAGGAGAGGGAAAAGAGCGAGCGGCAACTTCAGGACAAGTTAAACACAGCCCAGGAGTCCTTCACCCAGGAGATAAAGAAGCTGGGAAACCAGCTGAGTGATTTACAAGCTCTCCATTCCCAGAAGGCAAGTGATGTCATTCTTTCAATACCAAACAGCAGATTTATCGCATAACAACACATTATGGTATGTCGATTCCCTCATGGCTAGAATTTATTTTTTTTAATTAGTTCTCTAATCATTTTTCTAACATGTTGTTAAGCGTAACCATTTTAACATGTTTGAAATCCAATTCCGTGTTGTTTTTTTATATCCAATACCCTAGTTCTCTTCCTGGTATTCTACTGTACTGGGTAGTAGTAAAATACTCAGCAGGTCACTGTTTTGTGCGTGAGGCGCACAGCCCACAGCTGTCAGCTCTTTGGAAACACTGGCTACTCACCTTCCAAAGCTGGCTGCCATCTGCGAAAGCAGTACCATGGTTTGTGCAGCTTGCTTTTCCACTTGGCACAAGTGTTCTTGTGCTCCTGTGTGGGGCACGCACTTGGCAGCAGGCACTCATTCCTTATGCCAGCTGACTGGGAGTGAGAGATGCCATTGAGGTTTAAGGTGAATCTTACCTTCTGTCGGGCGGCTGTGCTGTAGCAGTATGTTTATAGAGGTCAAGGCAGGCTAGTCCTGGCTGTACAGCTATTTCCCAGCAGGATTCCTTGGTCACTCTTCGGTTTTTAAAGGTATTTAAGATTTTTTTGATCAGTTCTGATCACCCACAACTCCTCTTGGAAGGTGGTACCGGTAGTGGAAAATGGGACTGAAATTGAAGTTATTAGATACAGTGGACAGGAGCTCTACAGTGGACAGGAGCTGTACTAGATCAGTTGGCCCCACATTTGTTATAAGTCTGCTGAAATGAATTGAACAAAAACGCCTGTTTTTCATAGAAATTTGCTTTGGATTTTACAAGGTTACGAGGTCGTGACTGCATACTTTCCTGGTTTTTGTTCCTTTTCATATTGAATAAAAGAATCTACAAAACTCCAGGGTGCTGTTACTCTTTTGTGTTCTTTAGTGTCTGTGCATGTCAAAAGGGAGCTTGCATGGACACTGCATTTTTGTGGTTTACATTTTGTGGTTTACAAGACTCTCGTTTAAACTTTTCAACCCCAAACAGCAAAGACTAGAAAGCAAAACATAAATGCTTTGGACTGTTTGTAAATACCAGTAACTGCCTAAAAATCTTACACAAAGCATAGCCACATTGATCTGGGCTTTGTTACTTTGCAGGTTGATGCAGAGGGTAAACTGAAAGAGCAGGTAACAGCATTGTCACTAGAGCTTAGTGCAGAGAAAGGACAACGTGCTGACCTCCAGAAGAGATTGGATAGCACCAAGGACAGCCTTGAAAAACTGCAGTCTGACTTGTATGGGAAGGAATCTGAACTATCTGCTATCAGGCAAGATCTCAAGGTGGGCAAATGTATACAGTAGAAACTCATTGACAAATGAAGATGTGTATATAATGTGTCCACATGTAGCAAAATAGAGGTGTGTGTTGTCCTAGTTTGAACTAGTCCTGTGCAGCATAAAACTTGGGAAGTAATCTATGCAGACAAATGTAAAGTTGCAAAGAGATGTCTTAGATTTCTGCACATTAATGCTGGTGACCATGTTCGGTTTCAGTTAAGTTAATCTGAGCTTCTTGAATTCATTCCACCCACAGGCTTCGGAGGACAAGCTGGCTCTTGCTCAGGAAGAGCTGCTTGCGAACAGGAACCAGCTCAGCAGCTGCACCCAGTTGATCCAAGAGCTCAAAGCCGCCAGGACAGCACTGGAGCAAGACCTGGCGAAGAAGGAAGAGAAGAGCAAGCAGCAGGAGAAAGCTCTGCAAGAGGCACGGAAGGAAAAGGTCTGTGTGGGTCGTCCTCGGCACCGCTCTGCCCGCTGTACAGTCTCCTCTTGATAACTGTGCTTGCAAGGAAAAATGGACGTTGAAGTCCATTTCCCAGAGCCTTGTCTGCTATTGCTTTGACAGGCTTATAACATGGTGGTGTGTCGCTCATTGAAGGTGTGATCCTCCTGCAGGGGCTGACAGACGAGGAGCTGGCGAAGGTGAAGTCAGAGGCTGCAGACCTGAGTGAATTGAAGACCGAACTGGAGCAGGAAGTGAGCAGGCTGAGTGAAGAGTTGAAGACATGCAAGGAGAAGGTGAGAGAACATTTTATTGTCGCGTTGCTTCCCTGTGTAGTGGCTTATACTAAGGGGTTAATTAAAAGCTGGGATTCCCATCTCCAGTCCATAGTGTTCAGGTCCCATCTGGACTCTTCCTGTGTCTGTAAATCGTTGGCACAATTATAGTTTAACTGTACCAGTTAAAACAAAAAATAAAATGTCTCTTTTTCATGTCCTTCAAGAACCAGGGTCTGAAGAACTGGGGATCTCGGATCCAAAGAATGAAACCTAAACATAGGATTTATGCATTCGTCTTTACTACTACTACTTTACTACATTATTACTATTAACACAATAATGTTTAATATGCTCTACTTGACCACTTCTGTCACGCTGTGTTTTTACGTGCAGTGTCGGCATTTCTTAATAACGTACATCTCTAGAAACCCGTTCAGCTGTGCGGTCTGTTGCTCTGACCTCCAGGACCTCGCGGACCTGAGAGATGCCAAGCAGCTGCTGATCCAGCAGAAGCTGGAGATCCAGGGACAGTTGGACAGCCTCCGCTCGGCTCTGGAGCAGCAGAAGAAGGAGTTCCAGGCCACGCAGGAGGCACAGAGCCACAGAGAGGAGGCTCTGAAGAAGGAGCGGGAACAGATAGAAGCCAAGCTGGTACAGTTTCTTCTTTTGTGCCCCACAGATTATTGCTGGAAAATGTGTTTTTTCCCCACTGTTGTTACTTGCAGATGGCACTTTCAGTGCAACCAAGCTATGCTTTTGGTCCATGATGATCAAAGTGACTAAAAAAGCTCTGTGACAGTTCATTGACTAATTCATTTACCTTCTCTGTTAGGGTTAGGGTTTTAGGGAAGACTTAATGACTGTGTATTTTTGGTTATGGATTGTGATAAAGGATGTATTTATTATTTTCATCGTTAATTACAATTAGCCAGGATAGAGAAGTACAGCATCTTGATTTGTTACTGTCATCCGCTGAAACACTTTATAGCTGTTATGTTGATATGAGTAAGAGAGCTGATATTATTGGCTTCAACAACATGGCAAGTTTTGTGAGGTTCCTCAGGGACCTTTAACCTTGTTTGACTTTGTTAATTCCTTTTGAGGATTTTGAATATTTATAAGATAAGATCACTTTATTGGCCAGATACAGTTAATGTATTAGGAATTTGTCTTTTTGCATACCCCAGCTTGCTCTCCATGAGAAACGCAGACAGGGAGAGAAGCTTGGAGTCAGAGCGCAGGGTCAGCCATTTATACGGCGCCGCTGAGGCAGCTGGGGTTAAGGGCCTTGCTCAGGGGCCCAATAGAGTAGGATTCCTCTGCCGGCCACTGGATGCAAACCGGCAACCTTCCAGCCGCAGGTGCAGATCCTGAGCCACAGAGCCACTGAATCGGGTATCCTCACTGTCAGAATAAAAAGGTTCAGTTCCTCAGCCTGTCAGTATAGGACACTCCCTTAAGCCCTGGCATGTATCCGGTTGCTCTTGACTGATTCCTGAGCGATTTTTGTGCCCTGGTGACCACAGTTGTCTGCAGCCCCCCCCCCCCCGAGTCTTACAGTGGCGCAGTGGTCTGCATTGCTGCCACGCAGCGCTCGGGACCTGGGGCCCATCTGTGTGGAGTTTGTATGTTCTCCCCGGGTTTGTGTGTGTTTTGACTGGGTGCTCTGATCTCTTCCAGCTGTGGGCCTGCAAGGGACTGGCGTCCCGCCCAGGGTGTACTCTGTCTTGTGCCCACTGCTTGCTTGGATAGGCTCCAGCTCCCCCCCACGTCCCTAAATTGGATGAAGCATGTAGAAAATGAGCGGAATGGATCCGTCTTTTTCTGCTTACCGTGCATTTTTCTGTCTCCGTGTGTAACTTGAAGAATGCTGTGGATTGAAGGGCGCTATCAACGGGGGAGACTGACTGATGATTAGTGCGCGGCGTGGCTGGGAGTGTGTTGACGGCGCTGTGCTTGGCCGCAGGGTGCGGAGCTGCAGTCCCGGGAGGAGCTGAAGAAGAGGCACGAGGAGGCGGAGGCCCGGCTGAGCCTGCAGGCCGCGGCCCTGAACGAGAACCTGGGCACGCTGAAGAAGGAGTGGCAGAGCAGCCAGCGGCGGGCGGGCGAGCTGGAGAAGCAGGCGGACGAGCTGCGTGGGGAGATCGCCGTGCTGGAGGCCACCGTGCAGCACAACCAGGACGAGCGGAGGGCGCTGCTGGAGAGGTGAGCCCCGCGGCTTGGGCCGGCTGCACTGCTCGGGTCCCGCCGTCGGTGGTCCAGGTCTGCGTCCGTCTCCCAGAGAAGCAACTCCTATGCAGATAGAGTCCCGTCTGGTACCCTGTGCTTCTGTGGCAGGTGCAGGGCTGCTACAGGTCTATTCCGAATAAGCAGCTTTCTGATACCCGATGGATATAGTTTTAAGGAATTGAGTTTAGTGTGATTGCAAAAATGTGTGAATCAATGCTGTAAAATGTAGATATAATACCAGTATATGGCAGAATCAATTTGCAGTTCATATGTTCATCTGTCAACCACTTCCTGATTAATGATCAGATTTTATCATTGTCACGGCCTGTTATTATGACAGTGTTAAGACCTAGCTTTGCACTACTGTTAAATTGGAACACTCTTATGAAGGGTGAGACATGCAACAGTGTTAAACAGCAGCTGCAATGAATGCTGTAAAAGCCCTTGAGGTCTGGTTGTTCAGATGTATTTGTGTAACTGTACAAGCCTCGTATATGGCCCTTTGTGGTGTTTCGTGGATCTGTGCTTGTGTTTTAACATTGGGATTCTGGGGGTATTTTGTGTTTTTTGCGCACCAGATGTTTGAAGAGTGAAGGGGAAATTGAAAAGCTGCAGGCCAAAGTGGTGGAGATGCGAAGGAAATTGGACGACACGACGGCAGCAATGCAAGAACTGGGAAGGGAGAATCAGTCGCTACAGGTGAGGCCCGGGTCTGCATAATGACCCATCTGCCAGGAACCTCCATATACATTTTCATATCGGCAGGAATTCGGCAAAGACAAACTTCCCTGTTAATCTGTGAACGCCTGTTAATGTGTTTCTGTGAGCCTTTCGATTATTCAAAATATCAAATTTACAAAACATTAAAACATTACATTTTGCTTTCTGTTTAAGATAGAGCCCGTTTCATGAAGTTCAGTAATAGAGTATGTAAACAAATTTGAACGAGAGTGCAACACGGCTTTTAACATTTGTGTTCATTTTGTGTAGCCTTTGATCTGTTGGAAGTAGGCAGGAGGATTCCAGAGATCTCCCAGGGCTCCCACAAGCACAACGCGGATCTGCTGTGCTGTGAATTAAGAATTCACTCTATTGTGCGAGAACAAAGGGGAAACCTTATGATACACAACAAACTTTCCCCAAAACAAAAAAAAAAAACTGTGCCCCAATGTCACATCCAATAACGGTAAATAAAATTGCCCTGCTCTGGCCTCCTGCCTGGCTCTTTAATTTAAATGTCCATTTTCCCTTGATTAATTCTACAGGTCAAGAAAAGAATGTGAGCTCTGTTCTTCTAACTTGGTTCAATTAAACATGAAACAATACACACACAGGAATTATGCTGGTGTTGTGCTTTCAGACTGCAGATTATCTTGTGGCTGCCACACCAGGAGACTGAGGGCGTCTGAGACTAACTGCTTCTTGTCTTACTCTTTACAGATTAAGCACTCCCAAGCTCTTACTCGGAAATGGGCTGAAGATAATGAAGTACAGAACTGTATGTCCTGTGGGAAAGGGTTTTCAGTTACCGTCAGGAAGGTGAGTACACTGTACTGCTAGTAGATAACTTCTTAAGGGTAGAGGCTGCAGATAATTCATTTTCTTCACATGGAGCCTGTTTTTCATAGTTTAGGTTTTATTTACATGCATGGATGTTTCTGCAATGGAATAAAAATACAGGAAGTCTCCAATTTACAACTGGGCTATGTTCCAAATGGCTGTTAGTTGGTTGTAGTAAATGGTGGCTTGGTGATCATTCTGTGATGTCTCATTTCACTTCAAAGCCTACAGCTTTCCTTCCTTTGACACGGGTGTATCAGTGACAGTAGTCTCATGCTTGACACCCAGAATTCGGGTTGTTTTTTCTAACACTTATCGAAGGAACACCTGCTGCTTTCACTTGGATGTTTGGGAGTGTTTGTATAAGAAAAAGGGTAGGTATGTGATATAGATTTGCTTTTATTTTCACTAAATACAGAATGAAATGGTAAAGCTTTGTAATCCGATACCAGTTAAAGCTCAGGTCTGTGGTTTAGCTGTGTAATTATGGTAAAGCGTTCACACTGTAGTCTGCATTTACAATGCTTAGCTTGGCATTGCTGAAATAACCGAGGGGCTCCTGCACTCTTTCGGCACATCCCTAGATGATTGAAATGTCACGATTTGCAAGCCTAAAAATATAAGGTCAGTGCACACACTGTTAAAAATAATGCCGACAACAGTCTACGCTGAATGATCGAGGGCATCTACGGCATGCTCATGATTTCACGGTTTATCGCTTGTGTTTTCCTTCAGCATCACTGTCGACACTGCGGGAATATCTTCTGCGCTGAATGTTCAGCCAGGAATGCCTTAACTCCGTCGTCCAAGAAGCCGGTCCGAGTCTGTGACACTTGCTTTGATGAGCTGCAGGGATGAGGACATTGACGAGCCCAGATTGTCCACCACATTTGTCTCATTTTACACATGCACTTGTATGTACTTTGTAAACTACTTAATATTCCATATTAACAGCAATTGCTGTGTTTTATAGAGCGTTTGGCATAGGATCGCGGGGATTAATGTTTTTTGGTTGTGTTCCTGGTAGTGCCAAGAGCAGGCTGGCTTTTTGGCACTACAATCCCTGAGATATTGTGTATAGTGAAGACTGTCAGCAAAATATAGCATAAAGCAAAGGGATGGATTTGATCTATATAGTGCCTTTATTACTGATGCAGCCATATCGAAATAGGGTTCTAGAAGAGGAAAACATTCTGTGTAAATAATTTCTGGCTCGGCATCATTGGCTATGACAGTGACATGGTCTATTTTAGATTAAATCAATCCAAAGTGGAGCTGAAGAACATCTTGCACAGATGCATTGAATGAGACGGAATGCCTTTTCATCTGTATGCATTTTACAATTACACCTGCCCATGTGACATCCTGTATCCAGTGTCTACCTGTGCCAAGTGACCACTTTAAATTTCTCCCAACAATATTTTTGGTTCAGTTTAATTGTATTGAGTGATCAACAGTCTCAGTTCAACTGGTATTTTTTTTATTCCATACAAGAAGTGCCAGAAGGATAGTTGGTTGTCCACAAGTTGAAAATGCCAGCAAATGTAAGACACATGCTTTTTATTATTTAAATTAGACTTTTTTTTACCTTATGTTTGTCATCTCCTTCATAACCTTTACTGATCCCTGAAGGATTTAGTGCAATTACAGCTGAAAAATACTAAAGTCTATAGCAGTGATTCCCAACCCTTACCTGGAAGAACACTGTCTCTTCTGTATTTTGCTTCTGCTGAGTTCTTAATCACAAGTTTTCTATCGGAGGCAGATTTGTAACTTTGCTTTCAGATCTTTAAAGGCCCAATGTGGTAAGGAATCGGTATCAACCCTTACCAATTTCTGAGTTTCAGAAGTGTCGTCAGTTAGCTCTGTTGCCTAAAATGTAATCAGTTGGACCACTGTGGAAGGAAAAAAAAAACAGTAATGTTGGGAGTGTTTGATACAGTGATATTTCCAACAAGAGAACTGATTCACTGGTAAGAGCTGTTCAGTCATAAATAAGGGTCAGTAAGTTGAGGAGATGCTGTGTAAAGTTCTGTGTTCTAAAGTTGTTGGGAATAGTACCCTTGAGGTAGGGTATCTTTGACACTAAGGACTGACCAAAGAAAACAAGTTAAACGGAAATGTGAACAAGAAAGCGCATCAGTTAAGTCCTCAATTATGAGAGCTGAGCTGGAATGAAAATCGGCAGATGGTGTTCTCCAAGCCCAGGGTTGGGGACCCCCGAGATCCTGCAGTACTAATGGAAAAATAAGCTTTTTAACTTACTTTGCCTTAGCTGTTTTCGGGTTACATTGTTCAATCTTTTTGGTGCATTTATAATGTACTCAATCTCCAGTGGTAAGGGAAAGCAAACTAGATGAACAGAGTAAGGTGAAATTGTGGGCCCTGTATTAAGAGACCACCTGTGTTAAACAACCAATTTCTGACTGTTTTCTCTTAATACGGGTTTGACTGTACGCATATACATGCACAAATATATATATATAATGTAACTATGTATATACACTTACATAGGCTTTCACTTTAGATTGAAGGGAGACTGATATGTTAATTCATGGAATTGATTTGGTGATTCTAGAGTGTGGTAATTTGTCTTTTTATTTTAAATAAAGGCATGTGTGAGATATAAAGTAAGAAAAGGTCTCCAGGCTAAGAATTTCAGAGGTGCCAGCTATGGAATTTCATTTAATAACCAAAGATTGCAATGTAAAGATTCACTTGATTTGAAAGTATTTATCTTGTTCCCTTAAATGTGTTAGAGAGCACGGTAGGTGAGACACAAACCCTTTCTGTTTTATTCTGCCATACAATAGCTATATTTTATTCTTTTAAGGTTTTGCTGCAGTTCATATGAAAGAGATTAAGTAATGTCATTTACAAACTTTGCATTTTGTTCACGCGCGTTTCCAAGACCTTAAGCACGTGCAGAATTGTGATCCACATTAATGTACAGTATTAACCTATTTTGCAATGCTGCTGTTATTTATACAAAGTGGAATGTCTTTTCTTTCTTGCGTTTTTTAAATACAAAATTTGGTGCTTGTTTCAAAATCTGTTATGGTATATGCAGACTGGGTGTAACTGGTTTTAAGTCATGTATTTTTAGTTGCATCAATGCATCTACAGCTGTTTATAGCAGTTGCTTTAAAACTGACGGTACTTCTAAACCTGCGATATGAAGCAATAATCTTAGTTCTCTTCGTTTAACACGCTGTGGAAATGTCATAGGCCAATATGCAGCAGGAACACGGTGTCGACCATAATGGACACTGCAGGGCGCTTGTCCTTTTCATCACAGACTGTGGCGTCAGTGCTGACGAAATGGGTCTCTTGGGGCTCGGCTGCACCTGCCTTCTGATTCCACAGCTGCTGTGGCTTTGACAACCTGGCCAGGGCCCTCGGCGAGTGGGACCCCACTCATCAACATGATGATCAACACCGAGCAGAGGGAAGGGAAACGCGAGACTTGTTCTGCAGCAGTCGCAGGCTCCAAGTGGCCAACAGCGCGTTACAACAGTTGTTTGCCTGCATCAGTTCTGACAGAGGCCTTTGTACAGCTGTATTATGAAATCCCACTTCTTCAGTGTCCAGTAAGAGCTCTCTGAAGTGCTGTGCAATGTGCATCTCACTGTTTGCAAAGTCTCATTCTAACCTATCCTGAACCAGTAACTTCACATTTTTAAGTCAGGCTTGTTAACAAAGATGGCAGTGAAGCAACCTCTGGATCAATATCTCGGTGGCTTTTTTTTTAGTCTACCTCGTTTTGTTTTGTGGAATATAATTTCTCCTGAATGAATATAGAAGCCCACTGACTGATCGGTCTGTGACCAGCTTCTTTAGCTTCAGTTTAACCAGGCCTCTGCTGTGTTTACTTTCAGAGATATCTCAAAAAGTGTGAGAGGACAAAATTCCAGCTGGAAATTGGCTCTGGAGAGCCTTGTCAGAAAGAGGTTAAAAAACATGAAATAATTTCTACATAGTTTTGAATTGTTTTATTCTGGAATGGAGTTCCATACTATATGATATTTGTTCACACTTTCCTGCGATCTGTTCAGCTGAGTATTGCACAGCCACAAAAGTGCCACCACCTCCTTGTTTTTTTAAAGTGGTATAGTTAATGGAATTCTGTCCCTTGGAAGTTACCTGTATTTTTTTATTGTGGACACAGTGCAAGACCGTTCAGTTCTCTACTTAAACTCTTTCAGTCTGTTGCTTTTAAGTCTTGGTTATCACTGCAAATGATGTTAATATTCTTATGAGAAGGAAAAAAGATGACTGATTTCTGTAAAATAAAAATCCTGTAAAATAACACCTGATTTTAAAAAAAGAATTTAGCGATTACAGATGTAGGAAACGACTGTCATTGTTGTCTTACAATGTAATGTTTATTTAAATTATGACACTACACACTTAATTGTTGATGGTTACACCTTGATGTAGATCTTCATGCATGAATTGTCAATTTCTGAATTGGCATTCATTGGCCATTTCAAAGTCCAACAATCTGCTTTGTGTTAATGTAGTTGTGCCTTAAGTCGCAATTTTTTTCATGTTTTTATCTTTTGTTCAGCTGAGTTCGCAGACGTGCTCAGTTAGATGTTAGACTGCCACTTTATACACAAATGGATCAGTGAATTCAATTATTGTCAGGAAGCAGTGTTATGTCCAGATGTAACCTTCATTTTCTAATTGCTAATGGTAAATAAAATTAGGTGTTTCTCTTTTTTTTTTCTTCTGTTATTCTTGAGCTTCATTTTGTGTTATTTCAGAATGTTTCTTTGTGCTTTGTATAATCTAAATAGAAGTGTTCTCTTACTATATTTGAGTTTATTTGTGCTTGACACACTTGGTCGCTCCAATTAAATGATCACATCTGCAACACGGCTGTTATTGAACTGTATGCAGTGTCCCACATTTTAAACATCTATCCAGTTCCAGTTTCCAGTTCCTTTATTGGCATCCTGTCGTAGCAGCTGCTATAATTCAACCACACTAACTAGCAGCATGTATTAGCTGTTTATTGATTATTCGTTTATTTATTAGAGACAAGGCAGCATCGCAAACACTAACTTTATTGTAAACAGGTTTAGTAGTGCATATAAAGGGTATTTTTTATAAAATGTGAGGACATTGTTCATGAAAAAAGAATAAAATATGAAAATATTTCTATTGGCGATTTACAAAACGAAATCACTCATTTGTCCTTTGACTGTGCTGCGTTCCTGGCTGCTCGTTGATCCTTCTAAATCTGCGAAGATTCGAGCCAGAAGCTGGAGCTCCGAACGTGAGCTTCCTTAGCCACCGATCTTGCCACTGCTGCTACTGCCTCTTCTATTTTAGAAATCCATGTTTTCTGAAAAACAAGGTTGGGTACTTGGTTGAATATCCTGAGAGAAAATGAATGTGAAACATTAAAAAGAGGGGTTCATGGTGAATTCAATAAGCCACTAAAATAAATGTAGAGAAGGTCAAGTAGAAACTACGTGACTGATCCTGTATTTGTGCCCTACTCCTTACGTCGGGTTTGGACTGAAAATATTCCTGTATTGCTCCATAAACAAGTTTCTGTAGAAGGAGGTGTAACATGCATGCTTGTGATAAAGCCAATGCAGTCTTGCTCTGAAATGAGCAGAGGTGAAACTGAAGTGATGCACAGTACGTGCCCCAACAGAACTGTGTGGCAGCGTGGTGTCCTGTGTCACGCCAACCATGGCAGAGGTGTGAGAAGGCCAGCCCGTCTACATTTGAGAGGGCTTTTTTTTAAACCACTGGGTTAGAAGTCTTCATTTTCACATTTGTGGAAGATGAAATAATTCCTCCCTCGGAGTGTGCTGTGCTTTCTTAAAATTTAAAATTAAAAAAAACGGGGGCTTATGTTTATTTCAGGTTTCAAATGATGTTTTTACCAGCCTTACTATGTAGATGGACAGGTTATCATATAAAATTATGAGCCTTCTTGGGAGTGAAGAGTTTTTGTATTGCAAACTTTCCTCCATCCATTTTCTAACCTCTCCTTCCAGAACAGGGTCACGGGGGAGCTGGAGCCTATCCCAGCAAGCAACAGGCACAAGACTGGATAGACACTGGCCAGGATACCATTCCATCACAGCACAGACAGACACACCAGGGCAGGTTTTCCCAGAAGCAAATTAACCTATCAGTTTTTGGACTGTGGGAAGAAACTCATGCATTAGGAAACATTTATGCAGATTCTTTTAGGAGTGAAAAGGTATAAATGTGTGTGTATATATATTTAAAGTAGCAGGATCAGTTCCAGAGGTCTACTCATGAAGTGTCTATTTCCTAGAACTGTTTTGGTAGTTCACGCTAGAACTAGGTTCAGTTCTGCCTGTAATCTGAATCTGTTACTTTTGGAATACTAAAAGTGATGGGGTGCTTTTGGGATTTCCAGGACGGCAAAAAAATGCTTCTTTTGTACTTCACCTTGCTGGCCTCGGATTGAGCTTGCAGAATGAAGGCTCCAGTGCATTGCTGGTATCTGTTCTGATGCATTAAAATGAAGGGGTTGCGCAGTCCAGATGCTGAAGTAAAAAAAGAGTTTAAAATGAAGAAACCTGCTAGCACAAATAAACATACTGTTCAGAGTGTAGCCGAAAAACAAATAGTGGCGCACAGGAACACACATTCTGGCCGCCTCACCCAGCATGTTCATTGTAAACATCAGCGTTTAAGATCTTCTCAAGCAGCAGCCTTGTGGCAGCAGGCTCAGCTCACTCATTGCACAAGGTGACATGACTAAATATATATCGGGAGGCAGGGAATGGATGTCCAAAATACATAACATCTTTGTCTTTTTGTCACTTTATCACATTACCACTGGCTGCAAAGTATTATTCCACTGCATGTCCATGAACTTGGGTTACCGCTAACCTTCCTTGAACTCTGACATTCGCTGACGCACTGTAGTCAATAGTTTTCACAGGTTGTATTTCTTCATTAACAATTCCCTTTATCATTCTACCCCAAGTCTAGCCATCACTGATACTCATCCATTAAAAAAAGGAAAAAAGTCTGCAATATATTCAGTAACTGAAGGTTCTTCGCAAGTAACTTATTTCAAACTTGATTATGTTGAATACACTTGATTAACTGTGCATCGCTTACACTATAGCCTTTTCTAAGATCTGTTAAGACTTACATCAGTTAACTAACCTGCCAGAAATACTGCATCATACTGTGATTCCAATATTACAGAAGCCAAAATATTTTTTTATCTTACCTGCAAAAAAATCCACATTGATGTACACATATTTGGGTATGCATTCTGCCAAAAATCTTTCATTAAAATCTAAGCAGTTACAAACATTTTGTGGCATATTTATTCTTTTCTGACCGCTCCTGTTGTTCTACATGAAAATTAGGTTATTTTTAACAACACCGGTGGAGAATTTTAAGTTTATGACCAGGCCCCAACTCAAAGCATACTTCTGATATTGGAGTGGTTCCTTCTTACAGAAGCACTACCCCTGGTAGTCTTAAGACCTCATCTGATCTTAGACGTTTAGCAAAGCTGGGCCAGGGCAGCATAGAGATTGAAGGCCATCAAAAGGAAAACCAGGCTGCAGCTGTAAATGGTGTTGGTGGACAGGTAGGTGGTGCTCTTCCCTCAGAGTCAGAATTTCCAAAACAAACCCAGCAGGGCAAGCAGAGAGACAGTGATGGAGGGTACTACTAAAAATAAACTATTTTCTAGTTAACATAGTGGGGATGTTACCGTGGTGTGCTTTCATTTTGGGCTTGCATATTTTAGTGTCCTTAAAGTATATCCTTAATTCAGCTGAAGCAATTTCTCAGTCCTCCCTTTGATCTAATGTACAGTGGGATTTTGGTGCACAATGGCTTCTGCATTACCCAGGTTGGTGAAGTGTATTTCCTTAAAGAGCTGTGGGAATAATATATACCCAAGGAAATATTTGCTTCTTTTTACAAAGAGTTGTGAGTGTCTGGAAGAGCCTTTGCCTCCTGAATTCACCTTCACACCTCCTGCCGAACGTTCCTCAGCCTTATCCGAACAATTTCCAATTGTCGTTGCTGCATCTTTTTTTGGGGCTAAATTTGGGAGCAAAAATCCATGCTTATTCAATTCGATAATATCTCTGTGGTCCACAATATCAGTAAAGGAAGGTCACCTTACCAGTATATTATGAAATCTCACAGACGTCTCAAGTGGATTTCTCTCGCAAACCAATTCCATCTCGTTGCAGTGCATATCCCAGGTTATCTTAACAGAACAGCTGATTCTCTATCTCACTTTATCTCGCTTTCAATTTCAGGATGTATTTAGGATGCTGGTCACACCTATATTTTTCAGAGCTGGTGCTTGGGGTCCCACTTGGTTTTTTGGGGGGTCCTAGCCTCCCCATCCTATGGCCAGGAGGTTGGCCCTCAGCCAAACGAGTTTTCACTAAATTCAATAAACAATTCTACTGTCGCACAAACTTTGGCTGCTGTTCCTCGTGAAATCTTATTACTAACTCGATGAAGGGTTTGATTGCATTACTGTGGGCTCGACTGGAACAAAAACCAAGAGGTGTGTGGCTCACCAGGACCAGGACTAGAAAGCAGTGCCCTGGAAACTAATTATTCCATTACAGACAGGGAATCTGTAAAAAAAATATTTCTTGACCTATTGTGAAATTCACGTGACAAGTCTTTGAGATTATTCAGAACGTACAGCATTTGTCCAAGATGGCTCATTCCATAGATTATCTAGGTAAAACTAAAATTTTGTCAAGATGTTTCTTAAAGGAGTCCAGAATTAGGGCCTTAATCACCTGGCTGTAAGGCCTCTTCCAAATAACCACTGCTCTTTGAGTAAAGAAGTGCCCGGCTCATCCTAAATGAATTTTGAATTGGGACCCTGTGTCCCTGTTTCACTACTGAGTAAATACTGAGGGCCAGACCCCTGTGTTGGTTTCTTCTCAACTTCCTTTGTTCTAGACTGGAGAGATTTTGTTCACTTAACATGTCTGTATATGACACTCCATTGATACCAGGATTCACTTTTGTTGCTCGTCTTTGAACTCAAAGGCTATAATGCATTTTGGGGTAGGATGAACACAAAACTGAACACAATATAATGTGTGATCATACTAGCACAAAAAAAAGCTTCATCATAACTTTACTGGACTAAATTTCTACATTTTTTGCTATTCACCGAATCGTGCTGTTTGCTTTTTTCTGGCTTTCCCATATTGTCCTGATGAGGACTACACAGCTCCAAATCATCCCATGGAATACACTCTAAAGGTTGCCTTTATCCTGTGGGATATTTGGCAGGGAGACGCACTGGGACCTGGCTGTCTATTCTAGAGGAGAGTTCAGAGTGACCAGTGGTAATAGGGGATGTGATAACAGGGGACGTGGGTTGGGGAGGCTGTCAGTACGACTAAAAAAAACACACAGTCCTGGATCTTTTTTCGTTCCTGTGTTTCAAATTATCCCTCCTTGTTTTAGAAGAAGGCATTAAAAGTTCGCTCTCTACTCACCGGTGTTTCATTTTGACTTTTAATAATCTCAGGCTACAATGTATGATATTTGTTGCACCTTCTGCAGTACTTATCAATGTTAAATTTCATTGGTCTTGTGTCTGCTCAATCCATGGCTTCTTATACTTGTTTTGTAAGTGTCTTGTTAATGTTTCTGTGTTTGCCACTTCTCCCTATTTAACTGTACCAGTAGCTGAAATGCCGACATAGAACAGGATCAGTAATGGGTCCAAAAAGGATCCCTGCAGCACACCCCTGCTTGCATGTGCTCACGTAGAAATTGCTCCTTAAGATGATACACTATTAACTGTTTGCAAGCATATTCTCCTTCCATGAGCATGCATTACTCTGGATTCCTATTTTTTAATTTGATCATCCTTAATTAATGAGGGACTTTTATCAAAAGCTTTCTGGACATCTAAATATAACGGTACCTGCTCTAGTCGTACGTCCTTTCACTGTTTCTTTGAACAAATCTATCAATCAGTTACACAGAAAATTCCCTTTTCAAAATTTATGTTGGCTCTTATAATACCTTTATCTATAAATTCAAAAAATGAATTATAACACAAGTAAGATTGAAAGGTGTGTCCCTCTTTTTATAAACGGGTTACATCTGCAAATTCTCCAATCTGTGCGTAAAGCTCCCATTCTAAGTGAGAGCTGAAATTGAAATATGCACTACAAGGAGTCTAAGAATAACATCCCTGATTTGCTTAAGTGTGACTGCAAAAATGCCAGCAGGTCCAGGTAATCTGTTGATGTTTACCCCAGGCCCTGTAAACCTCATTGTTAGTTGTATTAAAATTACTCAACACTTCTGTTGGGTATTGGGTATGCTATTGCCATCATCTATTGTAAAAGTACAGTATGTGTAAAATATTAATTTAGCATGTTTACTCTACTTATATCACCTTAAGGAAGCATAATAAAATCTTTATCTTCTGAGATTAATCCAACATTATCTCTTAAACTGTTTACTGTCATGTTACAGCTCTTTTATGGTTGTAGTCCTGAAAATTGCTTTGCATTATTTTTTGCCTCTAATCCTGTATTCTTTTCTTTCTCCCTCTTGACAGTTCTAATATCTGTTTTTTAGCTGTGTCTGACGTTTTTCTGTCTTTGAATCCTAGGCCCTTTTATTGCAATCTGTAATCTGTGAATAGTTCTCTTCCTTTGAATGGTTAGGCCATAAATCTCTAGACTTTGCCTTCATTGTTCTATGGATGAATTCACTTTGTCCCTGAAATGTTAACCCTACTGTATATCCATCAATTCCCAGTTCACCACCTGTAATCTCTGCCTCAATCCTTTTCTAAATGTTTAAATTATTTGTAACTCTTGTATTTGAGATTCAGGATATGCACTGCACTATATTCTTGCACTATACTGGGGCAGGCACTGTAGTTTGTAAGCTGAAGACTAACTCTTATCACATATACTGTACAGTACATGTCAGATATATACAGGAAAGAAGGGTAGCTCTGAATTCAAGCAGCTCGTCCTAGCCACAGACTCAAGTGAATTATTGAAACAGAAGGCCTCTGTAACTATCAATACATATTAATACTGCCTGTGGAGCAATGATACTGTGTTAAAGTTCTTTTAACCTCACCTGTGGCATTCAGTTGATCAACATTTTTTATCAGCAGTCGGTCAAGCGACATAGGCTGATCCAGAACAGTAAATGTGCCGCCTTCTTTAAAAATGCTCTGAAACTCCTGGTTTGCTGATGGACACAAAGTATTTATATCTGTCCCCACAGATTTCTGAAAGAAGAGAAGATTCAAATTGAGGGAAAAACAGGAGTGTAATTCAATCCTGGTCATTCCGACCAATAACCTAAATGTTCATTTTATGAACAAATATACAAGAATTCTTCACCCATTTCTTTTGGGCCTTCAGCAACTTAGAAAATCTTTCAAAGTATATTTATTTTTACCTGAGGTTTGGCTGCTTTTCTTAAATGTGAAATAATTAGGTAAGGGTGAATTGCAAATTTCAAATAGTAACTACAGTGATTATTATTATACAGTATATATGCAAACAATTCTATCAATACTTTATGAAAATATAGAGCACTGAAAATATTACATTTCTATACCATAAGCTCCTCCCAAGAAGAGAAAGAAAATACACAACACTCCTGGTCAAATTATTGTTTGGAGCATTTGGAATAGTGGTTTTGCTAAATGCAAAAATCTTAGTACAGTACTAAAACCCCAAAACATTAAATACTACTGCAAAATAGGATGGGATCTTTTTAGACAGGCACCATTATCAACAGCGGATATCAATTTTACCAGTTCTTACCTTTTTACTCCTTTTAATCTTGGTTATCAAGAGGAATTCATCAAACAGGAACAGGTAGACATCTTGCAGCTTTGCGTTTTCTGGTAATCCAAGTAAGATATGTTTCGATAAGAGCACAGAAATCCTCACAATTTGTCGTACTGCAATGGGTTCAGTAAGATTCCTCTATTATAGTACCCACCTGTAAGAACTAACTTTCCCTCATGTAAAAGATTTCGGTTGGCCACAAGGTTTTCAGGAGTTACGGGCTTTAGAAGATACTTTAGATTCTGGGAACAAAGAAAGGCACTAGTAAAACAAACAATTATGTTATCTATCCACCCATTTTCTAACTGCCTCTTCCACTTCCAGGGTTACATATTCTGTGCAAAGCAGGTTACACCCTGGACAGGACACCAGTTCATCACGGGGCACATACTGTACACACACACACTCACACCAGGGCCAGTTTCCCTGCTAGGCAATTAGCCTGCCAGTATGTTTTTAGACTGTGGCAGGAAACCCACACAAACACAGAGAGAATCTGTAGATAATACAATTATATTTACTCATTTTAATATTCTTAGGAGTTATACACGCATGTATTATGTACAAGGGGATTCAAAAGATAATAATTTCTCATTACATAACTTTATATATAAGATAATTAAGTACTCTCCAAACCAATGGCTTGCTGCAGCGTCACTTCCAAAAGGAAACTGAAAGGTGTGGACAGGCTCTCTGTGCACAGCAGAAATCCCTGAGTGACGGCAGAAAGAACCTTTTTTCTTCCTTTGTAAAAAATATATTTCTCAGACTGAATGTTGTACACACAAGATTGTATGGCTTTGCAGTAGACTTTAGCTACTTGTTGCCCAGCATGTTTTGTGTTTAACGCTTCTTTTTACAGCTTGGGGCCGAAAGATTTCGGCAAGCCCAATTTTAAGTAATTCCAATTTTACATATGCCAGTTCCTAGATTGGCAGGTTTTATGCTTAATTAATTTATTCTTTCATTTATGATTCATAATCAGATTACAGGAGCAATAGAAAGACCAATTGCCACAAATTACCAGCTGCTGAGGGGATAAATGTAAGTCTCTATGGAGCCCATTACTCCAACACCATTCCAGGCACCACTGCCAATGCAGCTACCTTTTGTTTTATCATTTTGGGGACTCTGACTTCCTTGACACCCCTCAAAACTAATAGGTTAAAGCACAACATAGCAGTAAACATTCTTGACATTAATAGGGTCTGTAGCTTTTCTTGTTAAATCTTATTTATCGCCGCATCAGACTGACGTCAGAACTGTGTACCTCAGGGATGAAGGCTCTCTTATTCTGCTCCCAGACTGGAGGCCAGATGATCGAGTCTTTCAGCTGCTGGAGCTTCTGGTAGCTATCCAGCCATTTCACCTTTCCCTCCAGGTCTTCTGCACAGCCAGCAGGAAGCAAGAGGTGAAAAGGGGGGCAGAAAAAAACCAACAGCAGAAACAGGGATTGTGAACATATTACCCATCACCTCAGAGAACTCCCAGGACATTTTGGTTATCTGAGCCCAAGATACTGTATATCAGAAGTCATATCAGTAAACCCATGCCTAGTTCATACCTCTTGCGATAAAAAAGCAGCTGATAATACAGGTAACTGAACTAAAGGCTCAGTTTAGACGGTGCAACTGCACCTGAGGATAGAGCTGAGTGACCCTAGACCCTTGAAAAGTGGACTTTGGAAAAGCCCCACGTCTTCAATAGCAAAGCCAGTTTTTCACTCCTGAAACTATAAGCAGCAGCCAAACTAGGTGCCTAAACAAACTAAATAAAATAAAAGTGAAGGTGCCGATTTTTTTTTCTTTTTGCAATTGCTTATGCTGGGCACGCCTTATGGCTAAAAACCACAGGAATCGGGTTGTAAGAACAGTGGTTTTTAAGGTATGATATCAGGTTGAAATGAACTTCACACTGAAGTTCCTCCTTAATTCTGTTGGTGAAGCAATTTCTCACTTCTCCACTGGACATACTGTACTGCGTTGTGGGGCTGCAGGTGCAGAATGGCTGCCTTGTGTCACCCAGGTGTGTGCTGCACTTCAGAGGGGGGACCCCCTCCTATGAGTTAAGCAGTTTTGAATCCTTTGGAATGAAAAGTGCTAAATAAAAGCATGTTGTTATTATGACTATTGCTGTTTAAATCGCAGCTTACAAACCAACTTTAAGCAGCCCAGAACTCACTCAGACTTTAATCGAGTACTTCTCTTTGGCTGTGTGCGGGTCTCATCAGTTTGATCTTCTGTACTTGTATAGAGGTGGCTCTACCAGCCAGCAGCTCTACGTTTTCATTGAAACCCTTTTTATAGGTGTCAGGAGCTCTCCTGTCTCCACAGATCCTACTCTTGTCTTGGTACTTCATATTCTCCTGATTTCAGTTTCTAGAGCTCTGCATTTGCCTTCGTCTTTTCTGCTTCCTTCAGCATTAGAGGATCATCATCTAGAATAGCTAGAGGCAACTGTTTTTCCTTTCTGCTGCGGACTGCTACGTCTGAGCACTTTGCAGAAATGGTATGATCAGTTTGAACTGGCATGTCTCACTGGGAGTTGTTTTCAGTGATGTTTATGACTTGGGATGAGTTCATACCATCTCTCACACATGTGAGCTCTCCCTACTAGTCCCACTAACACCTCTTCCAGCAACAACCTTAGCTTTCCCAGATGGTCTCCCATCCAGGTACTGGCCAGGCTCATACCTGCTGAGCTTCAGTGGACTGCCAGTTATGAGTTGCAGGGTGATATAGTTGCTGTCCGTTTGTGCTTGTAAATCAATGAAGAGTCCATCATGTTCTTGTTCATCAGCAGTTTCAATTTTTCATTTTGAATCCTATATGTATTGCATTGCTTGAAGGATACATGCTCAAATCACAGGCATTTTACTTGTATTTTTATGTATTTTAAGAACTCACTTAGCTAGATCAGCTCCATGTGCACACACTATGTCTGTGAACTTATCTTGACCGTGCTGGATGTTGTCATAAAGGCTGACAATGAGCATGCTATGCACAGATCCTAACTCTATTAGTGTCACGATTGTAATCCCTTCTCTTAAGGGCGCACCAGCTCTTTCACATTTTAGTTGATCATGTGCACCCGCCTCCTATCCTGCCCCTCCTTAATTAAGGCCGGCACTCTCGCTACTCCTGGCTCTGCACTGGAAGACGGACGCCCGGAGGCCCGCCTACCATCAAGTCGCCTTACGTCCGCGGTTTGAGGACATAGGCCTCCTATCGGCGTCCTGACCCAGCTGAGTCCGGGGCTCAGAGCGCCTGGCCTCATGAACCCGTTTTTATTCCCTGTCCCTGCACCGGATTTCATTCTGGTTTTTAAACCTTGTCTTTGTCTCGTTTGGATTACTCGGCTCTGGACATTTGGACTTCTCCCTGGATTACCCCCTGGACTCCTCTGGACTTGTTCGTCCTGGCCACTCCCCCCCGAGGTACCAGCGCACCATCGACACGCTCCCCATTTCATCTACCGGCCCCGTTCCTAGTCTTCTCTCCCCTTCCGGATTCTATCGTCTGCATAGGGTCCTGAAAAACGCTTTGTGACAATTAGTCTGCGGTCACCTCACATCTCTTTGTATACAGTGCAGTCGAGCTACATCAGCCTTTGGGTGGTATAGCTTGTTCACAGTCAAAAGCTTCCATGTTTGTCTATCAATCATTTCTATCCATGTTTTTTGGATAGGAACAATCTCTATGTGAATCTCTTTGAGTCTTTGCTGGTTATTAGGGATCTTTGCTCTATTGTGTTGAACCTTTGTCCATTTGTTTCTTCTTTTGTTTTCATTTTCAGCAAACAGTGTTTGATGGATATCTGAAGACTGCGTTTCAAGTTTCTTTTATTTTTGCAGCCTTTTGAAACAGGAACTCTGTCTCACACCTCTGCCTTCCTGTATTAAAAAAACTGGCCCCATATACCCTTGGCTTTGGGTGGCCAGTGTGAAGCTTATTAAATTTTAAGCTGTAACACACCCCTCTTTTACACAGGCATGAAATTACCATCAAAAGAACTCTCTCAAGCATTATCACCGAGGGTACCTAAGGCGTGAACACTTTCTGGAGGCAGAGTTTTAAAGAAAGAATAAGTTCTACAACCAGCCCCCAAGATTTCAAAACATAACCTTTCAAATAATTAATTTAAAAGGGAGTTTAAATCACTCCACTTAGTTTAGTGGAGCTTGTTCTGCAAGTATAGCTGTTCATGCTTTCAACAAACAACTTCAAATAAATCCCAGTCCCTGCGTTGGACCCACGATAAAAAATATTCACAATAAGAAAAGTAAACATTTCAGCTGCACAATGCAGTTGTGTGCAAAGGCATGTTAATTGGTCAATATGCTATGGAAGGCATACTGAAACTGTTTTTGCTCACCGAAGCAGAACACAACAAACCCCAGACTCTTTGCTCATTTGAGCTTGCTGTTGAATTCTTGTATAAACATGAATTCCAACAGTTATTTATGATAACTCTTAAGGACCAGGAGACGACTGAGATCTTACAGCAAAAGTATCTTATGTATGGCATTTGTGCCAAGGTCTGCACAACTCATTTTCCTTGCAGTCACTGGAGGTGAAAAGTACATTAGCAATGAGGAAAATAATTATATAGTCTCTTGGAAACAAAATATGTATCACACCAGAAGAAATGGCATTAATATACAAGTTAAATATTCAATATAACCTACTGATTTTTATTTCTTTAAATGAAAGCCTTTATTTTTAAAATTTGTCTGAGCAAACAACTGCAGTACATGCATTAAACTATGAAATAACTTTGCTTTTGCCTCAATATAAAAAAATAATTAAAAATTGTTTTTTTACAAATGAAGTAAATTTACATAATCCATACTAAAACTTTCTTCAGGCGTGTCAGTGAATCGACAAATTTCAAAAGCAGAAAATTCAGAAATATTAAACAACACATACATATGTGTCATCTAGACAAGCAGACAGAAATCCAAAACTTAAAAAACACCCAATTCCCTTAATTTATTTTTTCTCATGCTTGTCACAGATCCTCTTAAACAAGGAACGATTTGATGACTAAGTATTGAAAAGCAGAATTCACATGAATAGCAGCAGTCTCACATGCCTGGCTGAAATTTTCCGAAGGGAGTGGTTAAGTGGTTATAATAAATAAACGCATTATGAATGCACGACCGCACTAGACAACTGGTTTTTACTTGTTGGGAAAACAAAGCGTGAAAGAATGCTCACGTATGGATCTCTCCACCAGCTCCACAACAGACTGGATCGTGCCTCTCTCCCTGTCACTGCTGCTTTGCTTTGCTATGTTCTTCAGCAGCAAAGGGTAGCGGGTGAACCTCTGCATCGGCGCCACCAGGAGGTCGGCCAGGTGTAAGCGCTTGCACTGCTCGTTGCGCTCACACCACTGAGGAAGAGACAAGAAATTGAGTCAGAACAGCAGGTCCTCCGCAGTGATACCAGACAGGACAAGGAGCCCAGATGTAACCAGTAACGCAGTATGTCCCCTCTGCTGATTGCATGTTGAAACCTGCCACTTGCTGAATACAGGCTGTCAAATGATGGGTCTGGGCTTTTCTGACCCAGAGGAAGGTGTTCATGGAAAGGGACACAATGTGCTTTCTTCTTTCATTTCATTGCAGTGAAAAAACCCAAGCTCCCAATTAACCATTAATTAGGATTAATATCTAAGGATAATTAGAGCTCATTAGGTTATAAGTAAAATTAAATAAACCTGTCAGGTAAATGTCTTTGTCGTCTAGGGATCATCTTTCAAAAGATAGCAGGAATGAATATGAACACAACAAAATCTGTCTTTTCAGTGCCACCATCACTGAAAACGTGTTCTGAAAATGTGCTTTTCAGATTCTTACTTTCAGATACGTCCCAAAGTCTTCCCTTTGCTTCAGGCTGTCGAGGTAAAATACTGCTGAGGAGTAGTTGAGGCAGTATTTCTGTTGACAGTAACAAATGCTCTCTTTGAAAACCTACAATACAAGCAGAGCGCAACACAGCCTTTTAACTTGCAGGCTACCACTGAGATAACTGACCAAAGACCTAAATCACAGACTACAGGGGGTAACTGATGCAGCTGGAGAGCAAGAGAATATTTCATTAGAAACACCATGGCAGTACCTCTACACATACAACACTTTCTGACACTATGTCACATGTGAAAAGCAGCACTCTAAAAAGTCTACCAGGTGTTATTTACAAATGTACTTACACCAGCTTTCTCAGCACTGTGCCACATTCATTAACAGTCTTTGAAGAGAAAGCTTTTGCACAGTTTACCACCCACTCAAATCCTACTGTAACCTGAAGGGAACAGTTCTGTACAGCACCAGACATCATATTGCACAGCTTTACATCTCAGTCAGTTTGTTCCAGCTGTCTTCAAGGCAAATAAAGCCCACCTGCTGAGAGTCTAATACTAAACAAATTATACCCTAAAGAAAAATCCAGTGACTTTAATTGCTGTATATCTGAAACCTAGCCCTGAAGCATAATATATGTATTTTTTAAAGTAGAATTAACATTGCTCCTTCTGTAAACCTTAAGACTTTGCCCTTTGTTTTACCTGGGTCTGAATCCTTTACTACTGGGCTTCTCTTTTTTCTTTACCATTCAACTTGTACAGAAATATGAGCTGGGCAGCTGCACTCTGTACACCTTCAAACTCAGGGAAAGAGTTGAGAAAAAAAACTAGTAACATTTGAGCTAAACTGGAGGTGAGAGATTATTTAACGAAACTCTTCACATACAGTAGACCACGTTTATGTTTGCCTGATGGAATGCAATTTCAGTGTTATCTACATTGGCTCATTTCTTTGAATAAATATTCCCCTATCATTCTCTGTATTGCACTGAGATTTGAGAGGACAGTACGTGGTGTTTTAAAAGATAAGAACTAATGGCGAGGCATTAACACAGACATAGAAACACTTGCCTTGGTCAGTAAATTATTCAAAGAACTGGACTTCTTGTCTCCTGATTCCCAGGATTCATTTATAGCCCGCAAAAGGTTGGTCAGGAAACCAAAACTCACCTGCACAGGAAAAATACTGTTTTAGTCACACCTGATAAGCAAAATGCACCTCATCATGCCTAATCAAATATCTAAATGCCAAAAGGACATTCTTCTATTTCAGCACATGCCCTTTAGATGTATATTTCTCTATGATTAAAATTTGAAAACTATATTTCTTTGAACAGAATTCAAAACAAGTCCTGATGTATGTTAGTATGTTACAGCAAACCTGATCTAAAAAAGTGATGATGCAGATTTGTCAGATTTGCTGCCTGTTGGCACGATTGTTAAGAAAAAAATTCATGTTGTGAATGAAACAGCATAGCATGACAATTTTAACCCTTGAGAGGGAGTCTTAGGATTCTAGGACATTTCTGTATCACAGCAAGCCATGCTAAATCTCCTTTAAATCATATTAAGGCTACACTGTGGCACAGCACAGCTCTGCTTCCAGGCTACACTTCCAGACTTCTAGACTGCCAGATCGTGCCTTTTGTATGGAGTTTGCATGGTCATTCTGTTTGTGTGGTTTTCTTTGAGTGCGGCAGTTTCCTCCCACCTCTTGCTGTCATGCTAGCTCGGTTAACAGGTTTCTCTGAACTGTCACTGTGTGAGCCTTGCAATAAACTGATTTTGCATCCTGAGTGTAGTCCCACCTTGTGCTCTGTGCTTCTGGTATAGGGCCTGAATTGGTATGACTCTTTCAAGAGGAGTAAACGGCTTTCTGATAATGGATGGAACAACTAAACTGAGCTAATTCTCAAAGGTGGTTTTCTTCAAAAGCACTGACAAAGGACATCTAGCAGACTTTTTCAGAATGAATAGTGACAAACCAGAGGTCCCAACTGGAAACTATATGTAAGAGCATTTAAAACTGGGAACATAGAACTGAGCTTCCTGACAGAAATGGATGGATGATATTCAAAAACTAGATGGTCCAAATGGGCTTCTGTCATTTGTAAACTTTCTTCTAAAAACACACATGTAGGTCCCAGCATCATTAAATGACCACACTATATTGCTTCATAATACAAAAAAATAGGTTTGAGAAATTTTGAAGAAAGAAGCCAATAAATGTATCACTTTCCAGTTCAGCATGGAGTGCAAAAACTCACAATGCTGACAATTAAGAGCTGCGGATTCAGCAACATTCAAGTCACTTCAACACCACCGACAAAAACACTTTTCTTCTTTTCTAGAAAGAGTGCCCATGAGATGCTAACGTTCTGCTTCTTACCAGGCATAACTCATTGAGATTGGCAAAGAGTCGCCAGGGATCAACATCAAAAAGATAGTCACTGTTTTGTAAGCCTGTGAGGGTGCTCAGAAAGACCTGTAAGAGAAAAATAGACTTTTATTGTCCAGCAACAAAGCTTTAAATCCTCTCTCAAAAGACATGTGTACTGTATGTGACACAAACATATTCAAAGTACAGCCAAAAATGAACACAGTAGTAGTACATCTTACTGACACAATATTATTGCCTTTCCCCTTCATGCCAGTAAGATAAAGTACATTTAAATGAGACTATTTTTCTCCCTGTGTAATTGTAGATAGGCTATTTAACAAGACAAAATGAAACACTATTCATTGGGGTACTCTGTACAGTATATGCGATGGAGCAGCAGTGAGATTTGTTTTGTCTTTCCAAACTAGCGAGAACTGATCCGCTA